TGATTGTTGTGTTAAGCCACTAAATTTTGGAGTGGCAGCGAAGGCTGAGTATATTGCTCTTATTTGAAACGTGAGAGAGTGTAACATATCTGCCATGGAAAGGAGTTTGGCTATTTTTTTTCATTTATTGCCATTTTCCAGAAATGATCCTTTTCAAATTGGATGAAAGGTAACTTTCCTAATCTAATGCAAACTAGGGGAGACTAAGGCATGAGATAATGAAAGCCTGACCTAAGGTAGTAGAAGGGAGGATATTAATAAGAGGACAGGTTAATGGGTATTTCAGAGACTTCCAAGTCACATTCCTAAGCAGGGCTATGGATGACATTTTCATTTTACAAATATCCCATCTGTTGTGAATAATTATAGATTTGTGTGCCAATGATTGTTCTGAGCAATCCCAATAATTGAAATTGCTGGAAAAATCCTAAATTCTGCAATAATTTGGGTTTTCCTCTTCAAAGCACTACTCATATGAATGAGGCCAATATTTCAAATAAGTTTGTGCATATAAAATTTCAAAGAAAGTTAAATAATAGGAACAACAAAATATGAAAACCTTGATTGAGAAAAAACCACAAGCTAGAACTCTCATGTTCATTTCCCTACATTTTGATTTTTGGGAGTAAGAGTTATATGGTAGAATATGTTTCAGTAGAAAATTTAAAATATATACATATTATTCTATGACCCTAAAATAATAAATCTTGATTATAGACAATGCAGGAAATTACATCAAAGTAAAAATAAGAAAATTTAAACACCCATATTCCCACTTGCCAGAGATAATCATTATTAATATTTTGATGTATATACCATAAATCTGCCATATAACATAAACATACGTTATATAATATACACAAGTACTTGTGTATATATTACATGTGTGCATTATATCAAATTTAGACCATACTGACTATATTGCTTTATACCCTCCATTTTTCTTGTATTATGAACATTTTATATCCTTTAAAAATATGAATTTTCGGGGTGCCTGTGTGGCTCAGTTGGTTAAGTGTCATGTGTGATGTCAGAATCACATTGCCAGGACTTTCAGTTCTTTTCATTGGTTCGTTTCTATCCTTTCTCAAAAATAGCTGGTGTTGGGGCACCGGGGTGGCTCAGTTGGTTGAGCGACTGCCTTTGGCTCAGGTCATGATCCTGGAGTCCCGGATTGAGTCCTGCATCAGGCTCTCTGCTCAGTGGGGAGTTTGCTTCTCCCTCTGACCCTTCCCCCTCTCATGCTCTCTCTCTCTCATTCTCTCTCTTTCTCAAATAAATAAATAAAATCTTTAAAAAAAAAAAGAATGCTTTAAAAAAAAATAGCTGGTGTTTGCATTCCTAGGGAACACATACCTGACCAGGATTCCTTGAAATAACTTATTTTATTTTTTAACAGTTTTCTGAGATATAATTCACATATAAAAATTGTATACATTCAATTTAATTAAAAAAATTGTTTTGAGTGAGAGTGAGATCCCAAGCATGTGTGTGGGGGGGAGGAGCAGACGGAGAGGGAGAGAGAGAGAATCTTAATCAGGCTCCACACCCAGTGCAAGGCCTGACACAGGGATTGATCTCACAACCCTTAGATCATGACCTGAGCAGGAATCAAGAGTTGGACACTTAACCAACTGAGCCACCTAGGTGCTCCCCAAAATTGTGTACATTTAAGACATACAAATTGATGTTTGATATACATAACATTGTGGAATGATCATCACAATTAAGCTAATTAACATACCTTATTATCTCTCCATAGTTACCATTTTGTGTGTGGGGAGTGGGAGGTAGAGATTTAATTCAGGATATATCCTCTTAGCAAACGACAAGTATATAATACAGTATTATTAACTATCATCACTATGTGGTACATTAGATCTCCAGAAATTATTCCTCTTGCAAAACTGAAACTTTGTACCCTTTAACCTATATCAACCTGTTTCCCCCTCTCCCCAACCCCTTAGCCTCTGTGCTTTTGTGAGTTTGACTATTTTAGATTATATATATAAGTGAGATCATGCAATATTTCTCTTATTTTGCTTAGTGTAACTTCTTCTAGCTCCATCCATATTGATACAAATGGCAGATTTTCTTTGTTTTAAGGCTGAATAATATTCGTGTGTGTGTGTGTGTGTGTATGTCTCATATTTTCTTTAGCCGTTTGTCCATTGATGAACACTTAGGTTGTTTTCATATCTTGGTTATTGTGAATAATGATGCAATGAACACGGGAGTGCAGATCTCTCTTTGTGATCCTGTTTTCAATTCCTTTCAAATACAGAAGTGGAATTGCTAGGTTATATGGCAGTTCTATTTTTAATATTTTGAGGAGCCTCCATACTGTTTTTCATAGTGGCTGCACCAATTTATATTCTCACCAACAAAGAACAGGGGTTTCTTTTCTCCACATCCTTGCCAACACTTGTTATCATTTGTCTTTTGGATAATAGCCATCCTAGCAGGTGTGAGGTGGTATCTCACTGTGGTTTTGATTTGCATTTCCCTGGTGATGAAAGATGTTGAGAACTTTTTCAAATGCCTCTTACTATTTGAATTTCTTCTTTTGAGAAGTATCTATTTAGGATGTTTGCTCATGTTTGTTTGTTTGTGTAATAGGCCTATATAGGGGGAATCCACATAGACATGAGATTCCCTCTTTGCCAGTGTTTTAATTGGGTTAATTTTATTTTTGTTATTGAGTTGTATGAGTTATTGAGTTGTATGAGTTCCTTACATATGAGGAATATACTCTCAATATATGAGAGTATTAATGCCTTATTGGATACATGGTTTGCAAATATCTATTCCTATTCTTTAGGCTGCTTTTTCATTTTGTTGATTTTTTTCTTTGCCATGCAGAAGCTTTTAATTTTGATATAATCCCACTTGTCTATTTTTACTTTTGTCCCTGTGCTTTTGATGTCAGATCCAAAAAATTATTGCCAAGATCCATGCCAGGCAAGTTTTTTCCACTTTTTTCTTCTAGGAGTTTTTCAACAATTAAAATTGTTAATAAAACCCAGAATGAATATTTGAAATGGGCAGTAAAATAGACAAACATCTGATGTGTTCAATGATGAAAAAAGAGAAAGAAAACACAAATATCAATCAAATGAGAAAGAATATAGCTGCAACTAAATAAATTTGATATAATTCATGACCAATTTAGAGATTTAGATAAAATACTGGAAAAGCACAGACAATAGACACTGATTAAGAGTCCAATGAAGTACAAGAAATTGAAAAATTTGTTAGCAATCTATTTCCATAAATGCACTGGATCAAGATCTATCAAAACTTTAAAGAAGCTCTTTTTTATTTAAGTTATTCCAAAGAACAAAGTCAAATTTCCCAATTTATTTTATCAGTGTTATTTTATTAATAGCATTACTAAGATATGGAATATTCTGCTTAGAAAGAAAAAGAACGAGGACCTATAAATTTAAAATCAGAACAGAGACCAATGAAATCACATATTTTTCTGTATACATTCACATTTGATTGTTGTTATAAATAGGATAGTCATAATTTTTTCAGTCTCAGTCTGAATAAGTCCATACAGTTTAAATGAGTAAAGGACACAGAACTTTTAGTGAGAAGTTGTGAGTGTAGTACCAGATATTCTAACTAGTTGTGAGGCTCTAGGCAAGTTCATTAAGATTCTGACTCGAATCTGATAGGAGCATAATTCCTCTTTTATGTACCTCATAAGTAAGTAGAAAATAAACTTTCTGTGAAAACACTTGGCTAAAGTTAGTAAACAAATGCAATTAATGTCCATGTGTAAGATGTTATGCTAATTTTGCCTTAATATTTGGTTGACATTTTAAAAATTTAAACTTTTAGACTGTAAACTACTACAGTAGTAGTAGGACTACAAAACTCAGTTACCCTCTAAGGTGAATGAAAATATCCAAGTTAGTAATTACAAGACATGTATTAAGCTATGCCATCATTTAATTGCAATAAGAACTTACAGTTACAAAAATACAGGTGAAAGATCATAAAAATATTCCCATGTACTGTAGTTTAGGAGTTCTTGCCCCCAAAGGCTGAATTACCTGGCATCAGCCACTGCTTTGGGTACTCAGAGATTCAAACCATCCAGATTTCGCAGCATGTGCAAGAGGTGTTAGTCAGTCCCCGGGTCAGATTTTTTCATCCTTCTCCTCCGTGATTACATCTTACCTCTCAGATATATGCTCTTCAAAGATGAGATGACAGCAAAAACACTCCAATTCCCTCACATGCACCCAAACTATCAAAATGTTTATTTTCTGCTCAACATTTAGCCAAGAGTCACCCACTTTTCCTTAGATTTTTATGTGTCACTATGCTGATTCTGTAAGAGCTACGATTCCTTCTGAAACTTTTTTCTTGCCACACTAAGTAGTGATGTGGAACATTTGGTAGGTGAAGAATTTGCTGTTGTAAATTCAACCACATAAATTAAGATTATTCTTAAGTAAAGAATTTAACTTCTGGAAAGTTAATCAGAAAAAAGCCCATTTTATCATATGCTTCAGTCAACTAAAGTGGAACAGATGTAAACAACAAAAACATGCTTTGATCAATGCCCTTCGGCTGCACCACCAGAGAAAACTGGCTGGATTCTGTCTTCTAGACTGGTGGTCCGGGACCAGTTGCCCAAACTTGGCTAGTGGCTAATTCCACTTTCCATATGTTGACCCTAGTAATCACTTGCTCTTCCAAAAACAAATTCCTTCTGTAAATCTCAAAAGGTCAATTCAGAATGTAGTAAATTTAAAAGAAGCTAGGCATAGATGTTTGTTTAATATCAAAAGGCAATGAGGAAAATAAAGAAAAAAATATGAAAATCTAGAATGAAAGAAACTTCTTCACTGAGGGAAAATAATTCTAGTAGATAGTTTTGTTTGATGTCAACCCAACCCCCTTTCTCTGAAAATTTCAGCATCCCTGATTATGGTATGTGACCCCTTCTTCCAGAAACAAAACAAAACAAAAAAACACCAAACCTGACATATTAACACATGGATGAATGTGGAAATCGAACCCAAACTGGGCAAAGTCCATTCTCCTCCTGATGTTTAAAATGGAAATTCAAACATCATCAGTTATTCTTTTGGTCTGGCTGGAAAGGAAGTGATATCAACCAAGGAGCTGTGTGGAGGCTGCCTTCTTACTTCCAAATGCACTGGGGAACAGAAAGCCAAGTTTTCAGGGGAGTGGGGGAGAGAAAGAGAAAGAGAGAGCGAGAGAGTGAAACCGAATGATGGAGTGAAGTTTCTTTCAGGATTTTGACACCTTTTCAATTTCTCATTTCAATTCATCATGAGGCTCTTCATTCCTCTTCCTGGATTTTCTGAGATACCACCGTGCCTTCATAGATAAATTCCCCTTTTTTCTTTAGACAGCCTTTGGTTTCTGTTATTTGTAACCAAGAGTTTTAACTAAAATAAAGGACCAGTAAAGTAAGATAAGAAGGAAGGAATCCGTAAAAGATATATGAAGACATCAAATAATCATTCATGGTGTCAAGAAGCCAAAGAATAGTCTCAGGACTAAAATGTGTGTTAGAAGAAGGCTCTTTGCCCCTTACCTGCTCCATATTACTTTGTATTGTTCTTTAGCCTGGATGGTCTAAGAATATAAGTGATTTGGAGGGAGGGGGTCAGTGGTCTGGAATATGTCAAACTATCCCTTTCAAAGTATAAAACTAGCTATTGCACCTTGAACTGTGAGCATGAAAAATGCTTGGCAGGATTCTTTGGATTTTGGAGACAGTATGTATTACATTTGAATGTGCTGTTCTGAAACATTTTTAAGTAACGCATATGGCCGCTGGATCTTAGTGGGTCCGGAGTAAGAAAAGGCGCTTCTGCAGCCCTGCCCCCCGAGAGTTGTGGCACAGCAGATTCAACAATGCTCAAAGGTTCTGTGGCAAATAGAGATGCTGCATGGAGTTTCTCAATAGTGCTAGGAGGAGAATCACATACAGATCCCTAGGGTTTTGGAGCCAATCATGTTCTCTGTTGTCCTCTATTTTTTGAGAAACAGTTCCTGGTTTGATACTGGATCCTGGCAGAGTCTGAATGCCTGACCACAGGCCATCAAATGGCCATGGAACTAAGGCACCAGTCAGGAGCTATGTGTTAACTAGCTCATCATGTTTTCAGTTTGGGAGGGTGCAGCAGCAATCCATCATCAAGGGGAAGGGGTCTAAGTGTGGGTTTGAGCGGCCACTGGATGCACAAGGAATTTGCATGAACAGATGGTTCAAACCTACAGCTTCTCTTCCTGCATGCTTCCTGTCCCTCAGTCTCTCAGACTGCATGTATACTCTCATGGGCAATTCCTTTCTTTCTTCCTTTCTTCCTCCCTTCCTCTTTACCTTTCTTCCTCCCTTCCTCCCTCCCTCCCTTCTCCTTCCTTCCTTCCCTAAAAAAATATAAAGATATTTATTTATTTATTTATTTATTTATTTATTTATGTACTTACTTATTTAGAGAGCACGTGGACAGGGGGAGGGGCAGAGAGAGAATCTTCAGCAGATTCCATGCTGGGTGCAGAGCCCTCCGGGGCGGGGGCGGGGTGGGGGGTGGCATGTGATCTACAACCCTGAGATCATGACCTGAGCCAAAATCAAGAGTTGGGCACTTAACTGACTGAACCACCCAGGCGCCCCATCTCATGAGCAATTTCTTATGAGCAGTTGACTAAGGAGGGAAAAATCCGGGTCTGGTACAAATGGTTTTGCATGATATGCTAGCACCAACCACATTTATAGTCACAATCGGGAGTGTCCTACAAAGACAATAGTGAAGAAAAATCCTTCCAACAGGCAGAAATGTGAGCAGGACATATGGCTGTCCCTTTTTCTCTTCAGTTTATACCAAAACCTTCCTCAAATGCCCTAGGCAGATTATTTCCCTGATTATTTGTGTTTCCGTTATGTTCCATGTAGAGTGCTAACACGGATTTATCACGTGCATCTGACTGACCCTGTCTCCACTGTGATCTTGAGGGCAGAACCTGTGTTGCACTTCTATTGTAGCCTCTTCATCTGGAAAATCCCTGGTGCACAGTACGCACACAGTAACTGTTCTTAAAACGTCTTTATGGTGTTGGCTCCTAGATCTGTAGATACACTTGTCCCTGGGGTCAGGGAGGCATGACGGAAGCACTGTGGTTTAGTGAGAAGCCTGGCAATCCTGCTTCTGCCTCTCACTGACACTGTGACCTTTTACCTACTGAGGAAGCTCAAGGTCTTTACCTTTCAATTGTGAAGGAAGATAACTGACCCCATATTGTCTCACCAATTATTGGGGGTGGAGGTAGGGATATGAGACAAACCAACCTTTGTGGAAATAGGCAGGGATTTGCTAAAGAAGTGAGATAATCACACTTCAATGGTTTGAAGGAGGTTGGGTTCTCAGAGAGAATGGTGAGCCTTGGGAAGGAAGGTGGGGAAGGCAGTGGCTTAGGAATGTTCGTGAGAGGAACCGTATTGAGTAACATGAGAGTAACCTTGTTTACTTTCTTCATGTGTTCACATGCTCCATAAAATAAAATTTCCTTGGGAATGTTGTAATTCTCTTTAGTTAATCACAACATTTTATAATTTTTTTACTACTAAATTTTATTTAACCCAGTATACCCAAAATATTATCATTTCAACGTGTAATCAAAATACAAATTTATTAATGAGATATTTTATGGTTGTTGTTGTTGTTTGTACTGTCTTAGAAATCCAGCGTGTGTTTTATACTTATAAGACACATGTGGCTAGTGGCTACTATACTGAATGGTACACTTCTGGGTTATCTGCCCAGAACATTTAACAAATGGGCAAAGCAAGGTCCAGAGAGAGGCAATGACTGGCTGTTGGGCCCCAGAACGGGACCATCCCTGGCCTCCCAGGAGAGGTGTTGCCCATACATGGATCAGGCTTGAGGTGGCCTGCACAGCCTACCAGCTTATCTTACCTACCAGCCCCTGATGGTCTTCTGGGGGATTGTCAGCTGGAAGCACTGAGTTCATGGGCAGGGAACGAATACTTGGGGTCTGCTTCTTCTCTTACACCCCCACATTTGGTGACTGAAAGGGAACCATGAATCACGCCTTCCTTCACAGCCTAGTTTGGAGGTACTTTGGTAAATAAGGGAGCAGAGAGTATCAAGAAATTTGACCTACCCCAATTCACTGTATCACGAGTGCAAGGAGTAGGTCTGTGGTCCAGTCCCATTCAGTGGCCCGCAGCAAACATGGAGCAAAGCGGAGAGGCACAGGATGAAATCACCATGGTCCTATGGAAGACTCAAAAGTAGTAAAATCTCTTAATGCCTACAGAACGATTCATATACAGATTCTTTTTTTTAAAAAAAAAAATCAATAGAAAATTGCTTTTCTATATATCCTACAAAGACTGCTTCCTGGGACTACTGTGTAAAAGTCTATTATGTTTGAAGTTCTGTTGGATACTTTTTTTTTTAACTCAGCAGACAGCAGTAAGGAGTGAATTATTTTTGTTCAAGTAATACCAGGTACATATTATTCTGTAGTTTTACAGCAAAATATGCTCCTCTTCATGGAGAGTGATATAATCATGTCTCAGTGTTGTAAACCTTTCAGACAAAACTAGGTGTGCCAAGGAAGACTGAGACTTTGTTGATGTTGGTGGTAAGTCCCATGTGTTCATCCTCATCCTCCATTCTTCCAGTGAAGAGGCAGGAAATGCAGTCTGTTTCAGCAAGGAGATAGTCATTGCCACAGAGAAGACAATGAATGCTCTACGACTTCCGAGCTCTTAGAAAATTTCGTTCCATATATGAAAAACAGATACATATCTGAGTTGCAAAGAATCTGTGGTTATTTCAAAGAGGTAGCTGCTTTGCCTTTTATTTAAGAAGTTTTATGGGGAAAGTAAGTTTAATGGCATCACATAAAGATGCTTGGTTCAGATTCAACTGAAATTCATTATAACTTTATTTCATGTTAGGTCTACGAATTCTCAGAGCAACTTTTCCCAAATGTTAATAGATACAATAATGGGTATTCTTTCACCATTATGTTTTTCGTTCTTAAATAAAGTAGGAAATGATGTGTTAAATTTAAACAGGTGTGTGTGTGTGTGTGTGTGTGTGTGTGTTGCAGAAGCTTTAAAATGTCAAGAGACACACCGGCTCTCCCAGAAGGAAGTATAGTATGAAATGTTTTCCAAACTTATGTGACCACAGAATTACTCATAAGAACACTTCAGAGAACAGTTATGCCCCAGAATACACGTTGGTAAATCCATCTTACGCGGCTGTTAGTTGAGCTGATGACCAGAGTGTTATGAACACCATTAAAAATGGTTTAGAGCCAGGAACGATCACTTAAGCTGAAGGGAAATGGAGGTTGCATGAAGGAGGCATTTGAGCTGGGCCATGAAGGATGAGGAAAATTCCGACAGGCAGGTTGGGTTAATTGGGAACTTTTCAGGTGCAGGAAGAGGCATAGGCAGATGTTAATTGCCTATGTTAATATAATCGGCATAATACTCTTACTAGATTTCCAAGAGAACAGAGCTTAAACCGAAGGTCAAATTCTTACTCAGAAGCAATACCCTTTATACGCAGCCTTTACATATTATGCTCGCAAAGAAGACTGAGCAAATATGTAGAATCTTGGATTCTAAACTAAAGCATTTGGATTTAAGTAATGTGCAATTTCCCCCCTATTTCTTACCCTGCACAGAGAACATAAACATTTAGTATTTTGATGTAAAACTATGTAAATATGTAAGTACTATAACTTGTGAATAGACTTCAGTGTTCGTGTGTCTTAGTAGAACCACTGAGAAGTTTACATACAGAAACACATGTGTAGCCATCTTCAACATGTCATTAATCTTCTGTCACAGGAAGGGTTGTGCTCTTTCAATCCAAGGGAAGTAAACAGGCCTTCCTCCCCATTCCCTCCTGACACCTCGAAGGGCCTCATGTGAACGATAAGCCTGTAATATCACAAGGCTGACTTCTGTAAAGCATATGGAAGAAACACACGTTTGGTGCTGAAAGTGGTGAGCTTTTGCTGGCTTTGTAAATGTTAAGGCAGTGTATGTTCCAATATCTTAGTGACAGAGGGGAGATGATGTTCTAAACCATATTTCCAAACACGGAAGTAGGAAACCCCAAGGCTTCACCCTTGGTTCTTTTTTTTTTTTTTAAAGATTTTATTTATTTATTTGAGACAGAGAATGAGATAGAGCATGAGAGGGTCAGAGGGAGAAGCAGACTCCCTACAGAGCAGGGAGCCCGATGCGGGACTCGATCCCAGGACTCCAGGATCATGACCTGAGCCAAAGGCAGTCGCTTAACCAACTGAGCCACCCAGGTGCCCCTTCACCCTTGGTTCTTTCAGGTAATAGTTGCTCAAAAGGGCAGATGCAGCGGGTAGGGAATTATTTCCGTATTGAACATAAACCCTCTAGTGTAAACGAAGAGTTGTGGCAGTTTGCACCCAACTTGCTGTAGCAACACATAATTGTTCTGTGGGCTTCTCAGTGCTGTCACAGATGCTCGCGTCTCGGGACCCGGTGCCCGCACGAGAGACTGCGGTTTATTAGGTAACCCTCCTGGAGCCTGTCTCCCGAGGAGGAATCCGCTTCAGGGCTTTGCTGCTCCCTCCGGCTCCTACACAGCCTACCGGCCCAGCCTCCCCACCCAGGCCCGACTCCCGTGCTTCCCGCGGGGACAAGTAGCTAGTCTGACAGACCGACTGGTGCTCATGTGTGCACGGTACGGGAGGAGCTGCTTTCCCTCCTCCCAGGCAACATGCTCCAGCTGGAAATGTCGCTTAAAGACAACGCTCGAGGGCGCCTGGGTGGCTCAGTCGGTTAAGCGACTGCCTTCGGCTCAGGTCATGATCCTGGAGTCCCGGGATCGAGTCCCGCATCGGGCTCCCTGCTCGGCGGGGAGTCTGCTTCTCCCTCTGACCCTCCTCCCTCTCATGCTCTCTGTCTCTCATTCTCTCTCTCGCAAATAAATAAAATCTTTAAGAAAAAATTAAAAAAAAAAAAAGACAACGCTCGATTTAGGTAATGTGTTTTCCTCCTCATGGCCCCCGCTCCCCCATGTCACGCAAGCCACGACACATCCACAACATGGCTCTAAGAGCCTCCGCCCGTGGGGCGTTGCAGCCTGAGGAGAAGGCACAGTCCAGGCAAGCCAGAATAATATTTTTGAGCTGGGCTCCTGTTGCCTCAGAAAAGAGAGGTAGGGAGCTGCCAGCACATCGCAAAAATCTCCACATCCCCTGCCAATGTGCTGAAGCCAATCGTGCCGAGCCCCCCTTCCAGTGAGAACTGAAGGGTCTGCGGTCTGGTTGAGGGCGCCTTTCATGTGGGTGTTTGACAGCAGAAGCATGCCACGACGAATCCAAGAAAATAAATTTATTAAACTTTTAAGGAAAAAAATCCACAGACATAAGGAAAGTTAAATATAAACTGCAGGACACAACTAGTCATACTAGTGAATAATGGCTTGTGTGGCCAGCAAAGTACCAAAATGACATTCTGAGACTGATTGAGGTATTTAGCTATTTTTGGCTATAGAAATTGTTGTCAGCCTATTGTGAAATAGTAAGATAGTTTTCCCAAGCACACAGTTTTAAGTTGAATTAGGTTCTACATTGATGAAATTGCATATGAAACTAAATTATGTAGCTCTTAGAGAAAACCATAGCAGCAAGGTAGCAGAAAACCTATTAAACACTTATTACAAAGTAACATGTTGAACTTGGAACACCCAGTTCTAGCTTTTCACTGTCCTTCCTGCAAGAAAGAGGGAATTTAAAATTACCAACCATTAAGCCTGTTTCCTAAAAAGGTCTGAGCTAAATGGCAAATACTATTTAAGTTACAGCTAACTTTAAAGTTTCATTAAATGTAAAAAAAAAAAAATACTTAAAGTGAGAAGCATTCTTCAGTGAGATGAGATTCTTCTCCTTTGACAAACCTTTTGGGGAGCAATCCCAACGCTCCTAAGAATGGTGCTGAGGTTACTAAGGGATTGAACAATAATTTATACATCATTTCAGGCCCCTTCTCTTCCTTCTGACTACCCGCTTTGAGGCCAAGCCACTCAGAGGGGAAATAAAAAATGAGGAGACTTCTTCGTTTGCTACTTTAAATAAACCCGAGAAAGGGTTTGGTGAGGAAGAAAGTTTCCGCTATGGGTTTAGAAAATTTTGACTTCTCTGTGGGGATTTAAAATCTTGTTCCTTCTGTTTCTTGTTACCAGGACGAGTGGGTATATGTCTGGCTATCGGCTGGGAAACAAAAACCTATTTCTTGAACTTTTCATTCCATGATCTGGTTGAACTTCGCTTCGACCTACTTCAACTTACAAAATGCTTCTTGTACTTTATTCCCTTCTTCGGTAACCATGTAATAAAATCAAGTCATGTCTGAAGAGATGCTACTGCAGAGCTTCTGGGGTCTACCTCTCATGATCATCATGTCCGCACTAAAAACTCCCTCCCCATACAACAGGAGCACCCAAGCAGCCTGCCCACCGGGCCTGGCTATCCTTTCCACCTCTCCTACTGTGGAGCTCTCTGACATGAACCAAAATTCAGGTAAGAAAGAGTTTTTTGTCTGACTGTTTCGGTTCACGACAAGTTGACCTGTGCATCCATCTGAAAGTTTTTTTCAATTAACAAATATTTGAAAAAAAAATTTTAAATAAGATGAGCGTGTTCCAGTAATGCAGGTAACTACAATCATTTTAGAACTGTTTAAGGAGTTTGGGGAGGTATAAAAAGGGCCTGGTAAAAAACTAACCTGCTTATTTGTTTTTCTTTAGGTATACTGACCAAGCAGCAAACCAGCTTTAGACTGTAGTCGCTACATTCTTTAGACGGGTCTGCATGAACTACAGTACACAGCGTGTAGTGTGATACAAAATAGCCGTGCTTGAAGTGTAAATTATTAAAAATATCTTTATAAATTTTATGTCAAAATAAATGTTTTACATATCCAAACTATTTTTTGCCTTCCTACCTATAATTTTAGTTCCCAATTATTTAAAAAAAAAAAATAGCCTGTGCTCTGATTTGCATTCCATTTTCCTGAACTGCAAAAGCCACCTGATTTTTCGCTTTTTCAAAAAGCATGATTTACTATACATTAAAAACAGCCATTCAATGCTTAGTATCACAAAATTAACACCCACATTAACAAGACAATCAGTGCCACTAAACAGTCTTTGAGACAATTCTTTAAAATATTTACAATTCACAATAGGAATATCTATCTGCTTAGGCCTCCTTCTTCTTTTTTTTTTTTTTTAATATTCTGTTTCAACAATTCAGGAAAAGGCATTTAGAATCCACCCCCTCATCGCCCCCAGAAAGGTTTAAACATCGTTTTGGTTTAAGCACTCAGGCCCTAGCCAACTCTTCACCATTAAATACGTAGCTTGTGGGAAATCCAAGCAAGGCTACGGCATGATTTTGTTCAGTTGGTCTGTGCTCACGTAGCCACATGATGAGAGAAACTCTTTGTCGGGCAAGGGCAAGGCAGTCGCATTGAGCACGAGGCCCCGTGGAGACTGAACGATGTGAATGGAGGTGTAGTCCGGGACGGGGATCCCCGAGCTCGGAGCCCGCTCTGCGGTCCCAGACCGGCCAGCGGTAGTGGTAAGGCTTTCTGTGGTGATGTACATGTCTTCCTGGTTAAAGCTTGGCTCTACACGCGATTCAACCTCGGCGTGAGGGGCCACAGTGATGCACTTTTTGGCATCGGCCTCGCAGAAGTAGGCGCTGTCCATGATGAAGTTTGCTTGGCAGAGTGAGACCACTTCCGGAGGCCTGTCACACGGGGATATCCCTGCCTTATTCTTTTGGCCTGGGGAAAGGACCACACTCCCGGCTGGAGTGATGTCGCTTACCTGGGCATAAAAGTCGATGTTTGCCAGTGAACTCGGGTTGCTCAGCTGAGGATGGGCAGCTTGATGAGTTGACTCAGTTCCACTAATCACAAGTGGTCTTGGTTTGTTTTCCTTTGCCAGGATAACACTGGGCTGCTGAGTGGTAGGGGCAGTATCAGTGGAAGGTAAGTTATTTTGATTCTTCTGGTCAAGGCACAAGAGATCTACTTCCCCTTTTAACCTCTGTGGCTGAGGAACCTCTGACGTACCATCACACACATCACTGGCATTGAAATCAGTCTCCAGAATGTCAGGCTCATAACAGCTGGTACGTCCAGAGTCATCATCCTTTGCCCCAAGGATGTTAAGTGATTTCTCATGGTCGTTGCTGAGAAGTCTGTCTGTGTCTGATCCTTCAGTCTTTTCATCTGCGTCATCAATATCCAATTCAATGAATTCAACCCAAGAGTCATCGTTGTAGAATTCAGGTTTATAGTTGTCATGAATGGCTAAGATTGTGTTCACCTCTTCTAATTTTCCTTCCTAGAAAGCAGAAAGAAAATGAAATCTATGAAAAGAAACTCACAATGATTAAAGGATTTGACAACACTCAGAGACTAAAATTGTGGTTACAATAAGATCAATAGTAACAAAACCATATAATAAAAAACACATTAGTATAGAACTTTTAAATATACAAGACATTCTCCTAATTTTAAGATACGTTATTTTGAAACATTTTTCTCCAGAGGGGTTAAAAAATGGAACATGATACATATAGCTTGCAAAAGCTCTCAACAGAAGACAAAGGTCTTTAGGTAGCATTTGATTAGTGTTATCCGTCATGTAGATAATTTATTAAGTACCTTGAGGAGATCTGGATCAATTCCTTTAATCTTTGGAACTGGAACTGGGGGAAGAATCAGCATCTTAATCCTTGAAAACAAATGAAATTTTGGTTTGACATATCTGCAAAATTATACATTCTCTTATTTCAAAAGATAGGAATAAAATATTGGTGGCACTATTACTTATTCCAAATATTCTGGTGCTCCATATATGTGGAGTATGAGAAAGAAAATATTAAGTAGTAAATGATAAGGAAAAACTATAGAAGAAAAAAAACCAAAAATCAACAAAAAAAAAGCCCTCACGTGAAGTCAATTTAAATAAAACATGGTTTCCTAAAATCTTTTTTCCCTTACGTCTTTATTGAAAGCCAGCATTAGTATTTGGGAATGAGAAATTTGATTCCATCTAAGGCCAATTTCCATTTCGTCTATAAGAATGGTAATTTTAATGTACATCTCGTCAGTAATTTGCAGAGAAGAGAAAGAAAGAAAAAAGAAAGAAAGAAAGAAAGAAAGAAAGAAAGAAAGAAAGAAAGAATAAGAAAGAAAGAAAGAAAAGCCAATTCACATGAAGTCAAAATTATTTGCACCCTCAAAAAAGGATGAACTGAGCTAAGTTTGCACCGTATGGCTCACGTTAATTATAAAATTATCTAAGATGACCTCATAAACCAGTTGTCATTGCAGGGTTCATTACATTTGGGAAAGACTAAATTAGAACTAAGTGCATCTATGATGCACTTAAAATTTCTGTTCTAAATATTTAAATTATTATTTTTTAAAGATTTTATTTATTTATTTGACACAGAGAGAGAGAACACAAGCAGGGGGGGAGTGGCAAGCAGAGGGAGAGGGAGAAACAGACTCCCTGCTGAGCAGAGAGCCTGCTGTGGGGTTTGATCCCAGGACCCTGGGATCATGACCTGAGCCGAAGGCAGACGCTTAACCAACTGAGGCACCCAGGCGCCCCTTTAAATTATTTTTTGACCATAATTCATTTCAATGTCTATTCTGCCTGTCTTGCACTTTATCGTATCCCTAGTACTTGGAACAATTCCTGGCACGTAGGGTATTCAATAAACACTTCTTGAATAAATCTGAATACTTCACTTACCTAGTTCGTTAATAGTCTAACTAGAATTTATGTCTTAAAATTAACATTGTAGCTCTGGAAAAAAGCTCAGAGATTAGCTATTCCAGTCAACTCATTGATTGTTTTTAAAAAACCCTACCACTCAGAGATGCCACTGTCGGGCAGCGATGATAAACTGGCTTTCGGGACATTAGCTGATATTCCACTTAATGTGAATAGACAGTCTAGTCTATTCAATAGGGAACCCATTCTCTGAATATTTCTATCTGCCTTTTTACCTAACCAAGGAATAAGCCAAATTCTGTTTTTTAAATTGCTGTAAGTAGCTCTCCACTAAGTTTACTTAGTGGGGCAAGTGTTAAAACAAATTTGTACCAATGAATAGAAGATATAGGAAAAACACAAATTATTAATGATAACTGCTACCATTTTTTTGAATGCCTCTGATAACCCAGACTCCATAAGATATATTTTGCATTAACCTGTGGGCTGGCAAAAGATGGCCTGAAGGCCAAATCTGGTCTGCTCTCTGTTTTTGTAAACAAAGTTTTCTTGGAACATAGTCCTACTCATTAGTTTACACATTGTTACGACTGCTTTCAAGCCATGGTGGCAGAGCTGAGGAGCTGTGACCGAGACTGCATGGCCCCAGAAGCCTAAAAATTTACTCTCTGGCCCTTTAATATAACAAGTTTGTCAACCATACACCACACACTTAATTCTTATAACTAGTAGGGAGGCAGGTAACATTATCGGCGGAAAGGTTTAGAGATTTAAGGAATGTATTCAAATCACACACTAATTTTTGGCACAGCTGGGCTCAAATCCAAAGAACCTAACTCCAAACCCCAGGCCCTTTGCCCTCTGTCATCCTGCTGTGTTATTCTAAATGAATATTTTAAATGTCAAAAACATAGAAAAATGCAACACAATTGTAATGACAGGAAGCAAAGATTCCCGAACATCTGATGCTTGACTTTGTTATGTGTGCCTCTTGCTTTTGCAGAGGATGATGCATTTAGGCACATGCTAGGTATCTGGGCGTTACGGTGGGCTTCCTGCCAGGGTGATGGGCCCCGCAGCCTTCAGGGCCCAAGCGGGTCACACAAATGAATGAAGCAGGCCTGTTGCAAAGTCATCCCGAATGGAATGGTTGGTCCTCTGTTTCAGCACAGGTTGCCATGCAACTGAGTTTCACTAGATCTCTCAGTTGGTAAAGATCCCCCTGGAAATCTGGATTTTTGTGTGGAAATTCCCTAGCGTGTAAACATTTTGTAGCAAGTCCATATAACATAAATTTATGACACATTAGGATCTAGCAGGCTGAGTCTGGCTTTCGGGTGGCCAGTTTGCCACTTCTGTTTTAGGCCGAGCCAGTTCTTTCTTTCCTGGTTAGTGACAGCTCAAAGGCTGGGATGTCGTATGGTGGCAATGACTGAAAATAGAATACGGATAACCTGGCACGAAACTCTGTGACTCCGCTATCATTTTATTCAAATCCAAATTACATTATAAATCTTGCTACAGCTGATTCTTAATGATCTGGAAAGGGAAAAGTGGCACATACTCAACACTTCAAACAACAGGCAGGACCTGAAGCCCTTTCGAGCCCTAACGTTCTGGGGAAGGCTGACGTAAGTATCTTGTTCTTTGGAGGATCATTTTAATGATTAGGACTTCGTGTTCTTTCCACACCTGCTGACAACTATTTTCTCCCATTTCCTACTCTCACTGGAACATGGAAACTGAGACCATGACAAGGGTTTTTATTGGCAAATGGAAGAACAAAACTAATTCTTTTCTACAAAGAACTTAATTTAGTACAGGAAATTTGAGAGTACAATAAAGATTTCAGAACAATTTTACAACTCAGTAATTCTGACTAAGCGTCAAAGTTAAGAACTTCATTATCCTTAGGGAACACTCTTTTATACACAGGTTAAGATATTTTCTTTAAAATCCTTTTTGTTGAGTGAATTATTTTTTCTTTGAAATATTGTTAGCTAATATAATTAAACAACGTAGCAAATTTACCTGGCCTTCACAATGACTCAAAATTGACAGCTAATGTTAAGAGTGAATTACTTTATATACATAGTGGGTCTATCTACTGTGGTTACATGTAAATTAGCCCATCAACTGTACAGATCAATACATTCAAATTAATCAACAATTTGGCTCCTCTGTTGTTGGCATTACTTAAATACATAAATTACTTAAGAGTCTATAAATGTGTTTACTATTTTTACCCCGAACAACTGAAACTGTATTTTCTTGCCTTATAATACTTGTGCTTATAAAAGATTGTTGCTAAAAAGCTGGATGCAGGGGCGCCTGGGTGGCTCAGTTGGTTAAGCAACGGCCTTCTGCTCAGGTCATGATCCCAGGGTCCTGGGATTGAGCCCCGAGTCGGGCTCCCTTCTCATCAGGGAGCCTGCTTCTCCCTCTCCCTCTGCCTGCCCTTCCCCCTGCTTGTGCTCTCTCTCTCTGTCAAATAAATAAATAAATAAATAAAATCTTTAAAATAAAATAAAATAAGCAGCTAGATGCAAAATGAAATTCTGCAGAATGAATTTTGCTTTCCCATTGGTTTACATTACAGAACTGGAGATGCAACTCTAATTAAAAAGCTTTTGCAATGTATTCACATAGATCCTGTTTTGATTTGCAGATGCCTCTTGGCTTCAGCTGAAGAAAGTGTCTACAATTCTAGGTAGGGTGACCCACCATCTTGGTTTGTCTGGAACTGAGGAGTTTTCCAGGACACAGGACTTTCAGTGCTCAAACCAGGAAAGTTTCAGGCAAACTGGGAGTGTTAGTCACCCTTGTTCTAGGAGAAGGGGCAGGATGAACCCATGGGACTTGAAAAATACTCTAAATATAAAAAATTTGCAGTTGGTACCGGTAACTTTTCCTATATTTTGTATTACAATTTCCTGTAGTCTGTGTGGAATTTCCTTCAGGAAGAAAAATAGAGTGATAACTCATACAGCTCAGGGAAATTTAAGGTCATATACTCCAACATGCTTTTATTACCCATGAGAACATGCAGCCCAGAGAGGTTAAGGGACTCAAACAAGATCAAACAGCAGTGGCAGAATAACTGGGACCTGAGTCTTGGGACACCAAAAGAATACAGAAGAGAATCTCTTTAAACTTAGAATTTTAGCTGTGTTTACAAATGTGGGTTATTTGTAATAATTTAAATAAAATTTAATAATTTCAATAAAACCCAGATTTACTTGAAAACACCATCCTATGAAGTCTAAAATGGTTTTATTAGATTGAATTATCTAGGTGGCTTTCGTTTGCCACTTACATTTGCTTGTCTATTAGAACTGTGTCCAACTTAGCTAAAGGTTCAGTGCCATCTCGTTGTCCTAGAATGAATGGGCCAGTTCCTTTAGGACTTAGAAGAGATCAAGGGGCAGCTCTGAGATGACAGTTTTGTGCCGATCACAAGGTGTGTGGCCACTAGCCTCAGCCTCCTAATGTCCTATACAACTTCCCAGATAGAACAGACACCCAGGAATTCTCTATGATGAACACAACAAAGTGGTAAATGTATAACTAGTGATAACATTTTACTGCATTAATTAAAATTTTCACTCATGATTTGCAAAGGAAATATCAAATAACAAGTGGAAACACATTTGAAAATCTGAACCCTGGCAAAAACATCTAAATAGACTTTTTCACACCTACCTTTGCTGTTTAGAAAATATGAATAAAAATAATATCATCGTTAGCCCAAATATTCCAAAGATAATAATTAGGAACCATGGAAACTGGAAATCTGAAACACACAAGAATATTATCTCACTCATAGAATTAGGAATAGCTGACGTTTACATTTCACTTTCTTTTTTTCACATAAAAAATATTTCTTAATTTGTATTCATCTAGTAAAGTCAGTGATTTCTCTTGATAACAGAATGTAATGATGTAGGAATATTTTCTGTTTCATGAACGTTTCTGTCCACTTCTTCAAATTTTTTCACATGTGAAAAAAAAACCAAAATGAAGAAAAAGCAAACAGTTTAAGCACAATCCATGTTTATATAAAAAGTCCACAACAACTGTTTTAAGCACCTTATGTGTTCAGGATGTATCATTAGAGATTCAGCTCTAGAAAAAAATGCTGTTTGTCAATTTACTACTTTACCCAAATGATGTCCACTTGGTCCTTCCTTCCCTCCCTCTTTCCCTCCCTTTCCGTTCCCTTCCCTTCCTCCTCTCCTCATATCCCCTTCTCTCCTTTCCCTTCCCCTCCCCTCCACTCTTCTTTCCTTCCTTCCTCCCTCCCTCCCTCCCTCCCTCCCTCCCTTCCCTCCCTCCCTCCCTCTCTATCTATCTATCTATCTATCTATCTATCTATCTATCTATCTATCTATCTATCTATCATCTATCTATCTTACGTATGGTAATAATTTTTTATCCTCCAGACTAAGGATCCATCAAAAGGATGGGGGCAGAGTTCTATTTTTGAATCATGACTGAAACTTCTTAGACATGCAGACATATATTTTACAGCTTACAAAATATCCTTTGATAGAAATAGATCACTACTGGGACTCCTATCTTCTACTTGGTAGCAGAATTGGGGCAATCTGTTCATAAAACTTCAATTTCATTTCTTAAGACCAAGTGCCTACCAGCTGTCTGCAGTAAGTTCCCAGTGTTCTCCACTTTTTAACTGAAATATAGTTGATGAACAGTGTTTTATTAGTTTCAAGTGTACAACATAGGGATTCAACAGTTTTATACATTATCCAGTGCTCACCATGATAACTGTAGTTACCACCTGTCACCATGCAACGTTATTATGATATCATTGTCTACATTCCCTATGCTGTAATTTTCATCCCTGTGACTTATTTATTTTGTAACTGGAAGTCTGTACCTCTTAATTCCCTTCATCTATTTCACCTGTCCTCTCACATGTCCTCCCCTCTGGCAACCATCAGTTTGTTTTCTGTATTTATGAGTCTGTTTCTGTTTTGCTTTGTTGTTCATTTATTTTGGTTTTTTAGATTACACATATAAATGAAATCATAGGGTATTTGTCTTTCTCTGTGCTACTTATTTCACTTAGCATAATACCCTCTAGCTTCATCTATGTTGTTGTGAATGTGAGATTTCATCCTTATTATGGCTAATATTCCATAATGGATAAAGAAGATGTGATCTATCTATCTATCTCCCATGCTCATTGCAGTATTATTTATAACAGCCAAGATATAGAAGCAGCCTAAATGTCCATCAGTAGGTGAATGGATAAAATTGGTGTTTTCTTTTTCTTTTTTTAAAGATTTTATTTATTTGAGAGAGAGACCACAAGAGGGGGTGGGGTCAGAGAGAGAACCGGGCTCCCTGCTGCGGGACTCGATCCCAGGACTCTGGGATCATGACCTGAGCTGAAGACAGTTGCTTAACCAACTGAGCCACCCAGGCACCCATTTTTTTTTTTTTTAAGATTTTATTTATTTATTTGAAACAGAGAGAGAGAGAGGTGGGGAAGGGCAGAGGGAGAGGGAGAGGTAGACTCCCTGCTGATCAAGGACCTGGATGCAGGGCTCCATCCCAGGACCCCGAGATCATGACCTGAGCTGAAGGCAGACATTTCACCAACTGAGCCACCCAGGCACCCCCAAATTGGTGTTTTCATTGGGTAAATACCCAATAGTAGAGTTACTGGATTCTATGGTATTTCTATTTTTAACTCATTGGAGTTACTGGATTGTATGGCATTTCTATTTTTAACACTCCATTTTTTTTTTTTTTTAAGATTTTATTTATTTATTTGACAGAGAGAGACAGCAAGAGAGGGAACACAAGCAGGGGGAGTGGGAGAGGGAGAAGCAGGCTTCCCACCGAGCAGGGAGCCCGATGTGGGACTCGATCCCAGGACCCTGGGATCATGACCTGAGCCGAAGGCAGACGCTTAACGACTGAGCCACCCAGGCGCCCCAACACTCCATGTTTTAATACTCTATTCTTAAGACTCCATACTGCTTTCCCGAGTGGCTGCTCGAATTTACCTTCCCACCAAGAGTGCAGGAGGGTTCCCTTTACTCCACCTCTTCATCAGGGTTATCTGTTTTACATGAAAAGACAGGTGGAATTTACTTGAATGTTGCTTTATTAAAAGTAGGATTTTACGTTGTAATATTCCTTTGTTATATTTATTTTCTTATTCAGTTATTAAAATCCCCAAGGGAGATATGATGGCTATTACAAAGAATTAGTGGAGGAGAGAATGCCATTTTGTATCTTGTGATACCTGTAAGTTTATATCAATACCATATTCAGGAACATAACAAAGCTAGAACTTCATTTTTTTTTTAAACATGGAAGGAAGAACCAGTTAAAAGATCTATGCTTAATTGAATTAAATGGCATCACAATCAGCTTCAAGGGTGTGTGGCAAATGTAATTTTATTTTTTTACTTTTTATTTTATTAGTATTTTAAAAAGATTTTATTTGAGAGAGAGAGAGAGAGAGAGAGCACAAGCAGGGGGAGGGGCAGAGGGAGAAGGAGAAGCAGACTCTCCTGAGCAGGAGGCCCGATGAGGCGCTTGATCCCAGGACCCTGAGATTACGACCTGAGCCAAAGACAGACGCTTAACCGACTGAGCCACCCAGGCACCCTGCAAATGTACCTTTTAAATCAGAATTTCATTGTATCAAATATTGTTTAAAAGAACAAGCCTGTTAACTAGAGCTTAGAAAAAACGGTGCTACAGGCATTTTCATTTAAGCACTCTCTAGTATCATGGGTTCTATCTGTAGCATCATCAATGCAGAAAGAGAAATTTAATTTCTCCATAGCTTGTGACTGTTTCATCAGCAAGCCTCAGCTCCTCATACATAGCCCTGTAAACTTTCTGTGCTTCACTGTAGAAGCACCACAGCTAATACCTGTGTGGGAGTGATAATTTTATATATTTACTGTTCATTGTTAAGCAGACTTCTTTATTTCTGTCTCTGAATTCTTTTATTCTGAATTCATAGATCTCATTTCTTTGAACTTGAATTATCTTTGTATTTTTCTTATATAGGATCTTCAAATACTCCATGTCATTCTGCACGTGACTAGCATGCTACTTATTAAGCCTGTCTCCAGATAAAAGCCATATCTAACCTTTCTAAAGCCAATAAGCAGCTGCCATTGACTACCTACGCGGACACAATATTAGGCTTTCTCTTAGATGTTACATATCCATCCATCCATATGGATCCAGTATTTCTTCACTATGCATTTGAAAAGCATTTTTTTTCTGACTATAAATGCAAAACAAACTCATTATAGAAATCTTTAGAAATATAGAAATGTATAAAGGAAAAAATCATCTGAAATTCTGATATCCAGAGAGAGCCCCCATTGATACCTTAATGCATCTTCCCCTCTCTAACTTACATCTACCCCCGGACATCTCCTGAATTGAATCATCACAGACTAAGTTCTCCTTCTACTTTTGTAATGAATAATATCTGTTAAAAAGAGTGAACTTGAGGTCTCTCACCCTGACATTTGATGCTAATGGATCATGATCTGAACAACACCCTGACAATGGAGGCAATGTATTACTCTATTAACAAAAGCCATGTTGGCTGCCATTTTAAATCTTTTACCTTCTTCACATGCAAATGGGCTCATTTGAGGAAGTGCCACATAGAGCACCTCACTGAACTCGCCATATTTTTCAGAATTTCGTTGTCTGGATCTCACACGCACTTCATATTCTTTATCCAGTCTCAACGAGTACACTGGAACTGATGTTGACAATACAGGGTCCATCTTTCAAGACAAAACATAAAACTGATCAGTTAGTGAGACAACAACTCGAGGCAGTAAACTCTATTAAGGTGTTTCTACATTTGTATTCAAAATGAATTTCTGTAAAGTAGATAATATTTTAAAATGCACTTGGGGGGGGTGTTGGGTGTTGGTCACAGTCAGCGCGGCTCGCTCACTGGCCTGGGCACTGTGGTGGCATGATCTAGCAGAAAGATGGCTGCCATTGCCTATTTGATTTTTCTTCCTGTGGCAAGATTGTCACGGAGCCTGGATATTTCAGGAAATCCAGTATCAAAATCGACTGCAGAAGAAAGGACCTAACGGACCAGTAACAATGGAAGAAATCAAGAAAGTTATCCAAAAACTACCATCCTCCCAAACACCAGGCCCAGTTGGTGTTACAGGTTAAAAATATCCTTCATGAAGAAGAAAGCTCTTAAGCCACATGGTGGATTCAGAAGCTCCTGGAAAGAGGCTGCCCAGCCTAACATCTTCTTCTTTTTTTTTTTTAAAGATTTTATTTATTTATTCATGAGAGACAGAGAGAGAGGCAGAGGGAGAAGCAGGGAGCCCGATGCGGGACTCGATCCCAGGACCCTGGGATCATGACCTGAGCCGAAGGCAGACGCTTAACCATCTGAGCCACCCAGGCGCCCCAGCCTAACATCTTCAAAACAAGGTCTATCACCTCCTGTTGCAAATGTTGGTGGAATGACGCATTACGTCTGCGGCTGCTGTGCGGCTTTCAACGACGCGGCACTCCCATTTCCCACTCGGGAGGTGCCCTTTGGCAACAGCTGTCCGGAATCAAAACCTGGGACGCAGTGCTTCAGTCGAGGAGAGATGGTTTCAAACTCGTACGGCAGGATCCTGCCCCACCGATGCAGAAGACGACTACACTGGCACTTGGGTTTGGCCAGTACGAGGACTTATCTTGCCTCCTCTGACAACACAGCAGTACCCCACGAGTTTGCGACCCGCAGTGTGGCCGCACTCCTTGCAGGGACAGCAGGGGCACTTTTCACTCCAATGGAGAAAGTTCGGACATTGCTCCAGGACCACAAGCATAATGACAAATTTACCAACACTTACCAGGCTTTCAAGGCACTCAGATGCCATGGAGTGAGAGTATTATCGAGGCTTGGTGCCTGTTCTTTCCTGTAATGGATTCAGCAATGTCTTTCCTTTGGCCTTTGAGGTCCCATTAAGGAGCATCTGCCTACGCAACGACTCACAGCACTCATTTACACAATGATTCTATCTGTGGAGGTCTGTTGGGTGCTTTGTTTGGAATCTTGTTTCCCCAGTTAATGTTGTGAAAACTCATCTGCAGTCTCAGATTGGTGGGGAATTTCAGTCATTTTCCAAGGTTTTCCAGAAAATCTGGCTAGAGTGGGACAGGAAGCTGACAAATCTTTTCAGAGGTGCTCACCTGAATTACCATCGGTCTCGCATCTCTTGGGGCATAATCAATGCAACTTATGAGTTCTTGGTAAAGATTATATGAAAGAAACCATCAATTAAGTGCCATTTATTAACTGAATAGACCCAAGAAGAATGCAGTTTGGCCATGTTCCTAATTGGCCAACTACAAGTTGGTGTCATAAATTCAGGGCCCAATGAATTATGGGCAAAGCCCTTCTCTTGAAGCCCCAACAAATTCAGAATAAAAGGTTCTAATGGGGAAAAAATAAAACGCACTGAAGAAGTTTGCTACTTAAAGGAAAATCAAGGCAAATAACTTTGTAGAGAAAGTCTGTTATATGGATCACAGTCCTCAAAGTTATTTTGGTATAAACCCAAGATATAATAGACTTGTTTAAAGAAATGCAGCTATGTGTTTGTACTAGGCTGTCAGATATTCTATACAATCAAAGCATAACAGAATTATTTTTTAAATTTTATTATGTTATGTGAATCACCATACATTACATCATTAGTTTTTGATGTAGTGTTCCATGATTCATTGTTTGCGTATAACACCCACTGCTCCATGCAGAACGTGCCCTCTTAAATACCCATCACCAGGCTCACCCATCCCCCACCCCCCTCCCCTCTAGAACCCTCAGTTTGTTTCTCAGAGTCCATAGTCTCTCATGGTTCGTCTCCCCCTCCGATTTCCCCCCTTCATTTTTCCCTTCCTACTATCTTCTTCTTCTTCTTTTTTAACATATAATGTATTGTTTGTTTCAGAGGTACAGGTCTGTGATTCATCAATCTTACACAATTCACAGTGCTCACCATAGCACATACCCTCCTCAATGCCCATCACCCAGCCACCCCATCCCTCCCACCCCCCATCACTCCAGCAACCCTCAGTTTGTTTCCTGAGATTAAGAATTCCTCATATCAGTGAGATCATATGATACATGTCTTTCTCTGATTGACTTATTTCGCTCAGCATAATACCCTCTAGTTGGGTGGAGCTATAAAGAAAATTACGGATATGTTGCCTACCCTTTGGGATATTATAGTTTTATATGAAGACATAAGAACAGAAAAAAAAAACCGTATTTCCACACCAAAACAAATCATAGTCAAATATACACACACATGTGCACAGTTTGTTCTTTGGAAATTCTGGGTAGTCATTCATAAGATCACAGAGTTGGAAAGGGTCCTAGAAAAACCATAATTGTCTAAATTATTCTATTAGAAGGAACTACATACCTATTCTGCATATTCTAGAGGGCTTAAAGTTACCTCAAATGGTTTCCTATTCAAAATTTGCAAAAAAAAAATGTCACTAGAGTCATTGGTAATAAAAATCAAGGTCCCACAACCCTTAAGGTCACGATATTCTTTTACCTTCCAGGGGAAGGGTAGTACGGCTATTAGACATAAGGCTATGAAAGAGGTAGGCCCAACTAATGACAGTGTTTTCCTTCAAGTCAAATACTCAAAGCAGGTATTCAATATGGGTTTTTCATATGCTTTCAGATAGAACACCTTGCTCCTATTTACAGAAAACTAGGAACACTTATATTTTCAACAGCATGGAGTTTTCACATTAAAAAGATTCTCATAATTTGTTTTATTAAGTCAGAGGCTGGGCCTGCAGCTTCTAAAATAAATTTCCTTTCACCTCAGTTTCTACTCACAAGGTTCCTGTTTTTTTCCCATGTGTATATGGGATGGTTAGTTTGTATCTTTTTATTGACACTTCTTTTTTTTTTTAAGATTTATTTATTTATTTTAGAGAGAGAGAGTGTGTGCGTGCGTGTGCACACATGAGCTCACATGGGGTGGGGAGTGAGGGGCAGAGGGAGAGAGAGAGAGAAACCCAAACAGACTCCGTGCTGAGCATGGAGCCCGATGCGGGGCTTGATTTCACAACCCTGAGATCATGACCTGAGCTGACACCAAGAGTCACCGCATAACCAACTGCGCCACCCAAGCGCCCCCGAAGCTTCTTAATATATGATATATTTGCATGCCTAAAATGCTTTTTTAAAGGCAAGATTCTGAATTTTAAACTTATCTTATTGGTTTCTTTAAAACGTGTGTGTCCAGTTTTGAAGCCCTAAGTTCTGTTATTGTAACCAATATTGTTTCATTACAGATTTCACTAATGACAAAACCAAAAAGAGGCCCTCAGTGATTTGATCTCTGCCCCCCCCGCCCCCTTATCTTCCCTCAACCCTCCAAAGCAGCCACACCAAACCTGATTTCATTTACATGGCTCCTACCACCGGCACTGAGCCCTGCCACCTGCCTTGGAGGGAATGCCTATGCAACTTATGAGTTCTTGTTAAAGATTATATGAGCCAATCCTCAGTGCAAGGATTGTTGATATTCTAAGATGTCATTCCTGGCATTTTTTCCTACTCCATCCTGACAGATAGTCACATCTTAGATTACTTTTTATACTTATATTACACTGCTCCAATTTCTATATTACACTGCAAATTCCCTGCTGCAAACAACGCCTTCATTATCTCTGCATTTCCAAAGCCCAGCACAATACTGGGTATAGAGTGGGTGCTCAGGAGATGGCCCATACAATGTGGATAATTCTTTGCCACTCATTACTTCTTTAAAAAACATTAAATTCTTAACCTGATTTAGCAGGTAAATAGTTTAAGCAACTACATCACCATTAGTATCACTTTTATATTCAAAATGCATTTAATTAAAAAAAAGGCACCGTAATACAAAATTCCACATTGTCAGTCGTAACCTGGATTCCTGATACACGCAACAAACACTAGCTTTTCCCCCTCTACTTATGAATCTCACTTGTTTTTAAGCTTATGGCACTTGTGCTCATAACCAATTAGATTGTGAATTTCTTCAGCAGAGGTCAAGTCTTAACAGATAAACTCTTGGTATTCATGACAACTCTGTCTGAGACCCTTGTAAGACATGCCATGAAGACGTAACTTCACTTATACAAGTTAAGTGAAGTAAAAGTTAACTGACCCCTTTGGACTATCTAATGAGATTTAGCGGAGATGCAATAAAAAGTGTGACAAAGCCAAGCTGGGATGCACACCTGAATGGTCAATTGACTAAGTCCCATGCTCCCATGGACCTGGCTCAGGGTACGAGCTTCGTATCTGTGCATCAGCTGAAATACAGCTAGATCACTGGACTTTCAGGGTTGAAACTATGATTAGTAAATCTATGAATGCTAACGTTTGGATTCACATCTTTGCTTTTCCTGGATAGTCAAACTTTTTGTTTCAGGACTCCTTTTTACCCTTAAAAATTACTGAGAAGCCTAAAGATTTTGGTTTATTTGGGTTATGCTTATCCCTATTCACCATTTAGAAACTGAAACAGGAATTTTTTAAATTTTAAAATTAAAATAATATTAATTTAAAAAAATTATTGTATTCTCCAAAACAACATATAATTTTGTGAGAAGAGTGACACTGTTTTACATTTTTACATTTTGGCAAGTCTCTTTAATGGCTGGCTTCATACAAGATGGCTGTATTTTTACATCTGCTTCTGTATTTTTTTTTTTTTCTAACAAAAGCTCTCACATATTTATTACTGAGCCAACCTACTATGGCAGAAGCAGAGTAACAGAGAAAAATAATTTCCCTGATAAAACATGTGTATTCTTCAGATAGTAGTGATGTTTACAGAGTAAGAGGATAGGAACACCTGCCTTCATGCAGCAGAAATATGTGTGCCATCTCATGTGCGATCCCTTAGAGACAAAGCTTGGTTCTTCTCCAATGCTTCCTCCTGGAGTTGTACCTGATTTTACCAATTTTCATCCAAATCCACTAGGGAATGGGATGGTTCTGCTTTTGTTTCTTGGCCAGGAATCGCTTGATCCTGAAAGTCTTGTGAGAAGACATGGTGAAGAATAGTCAACCGCACATACAATGATGGCGGAGAATAGAAGCCACATCTGCTTCTGTATTAAATTTGCATTAAATCTTTTGTGTTGTTTTGGTTGAAGTGCATTGAATAGAATCTGGTCTCACACAGATATATAGTGAAGAAAAGGTGGGATATTTTAATAGCCTTTTCAGAAAATTGTGGATATTCTTCTTTTTTTAAAAAGATTTTATTTTGAAGTAACCATACTCAATGTGGGGCTCGAACTTAGAACCCCAAGATCAAGAGTCACATCCTCTGCTGACTGAGCCAGCCAGGCACCCATGTGGATAGTCTTCAACACTAATACCAAAACTCAACAAGCAGTAGTTTAAGTTTCTAAGAAATGTTAATTTTGGAAAAGTGCCCATTGACACATCTTACCCTATAGTATTAAATATGATTGCCTACAGAAAAATTCAGTCCTGGGGATAGTTCAGAATAATTGACTTTCTGTTGGATAAAGAAAGTAGGAAAATATTTGCTTATAGACATGTCTATATAGATAGACAGAAATCTTGTTATTTAATAAAGAAATCTATGAATTTTGCAAATATCACTCTGCTCCATGGAAAGTGGTTCAGAGTGGGGAAGGAGTGGGAACAGAGACATTGCACAGGAGGCTGTTGAGGTGATCCAGAGAAGACACAATAATGACACCAATCCATGATCTAATTCAGAGCATGAATCAATGGGAATTGGTGATTATTCGGAGCTAAGGAGTAAGAAGAGTAAGATACCGATAGATGTCAGGACAACATTCTGGATTAAATTTGAACAACTGTATGGACATGTTGTCATTTACCGAGAGGGGGAGACTAGGGAGGTAGGAGGAGGTTTGAGCACGTTGCTTTTTTGAGAGCCCCTGAGGCATCCCAGTGGATATGTCCAAGTGTGGAATGTAGAAATGAGGTCAGGGTGGAACCGCTGTGCTAAGTGCCCTCGGGTGTTGACACTGATCTGGTCTTTTCTATTTTTCAACTAGCTTCCACCAAATGGAATTTTTTTTAATACTCACAACCACCATGTGAAACAGAGAGTGAGCCTGACCAATTTTACAGTTCGATGAAACACTCTCAGCGATAAAAAGGAATGTTACACTCAGCAATAGGAATCTCATATGCATTATGAGGAGTGAAGGAAGCCAGAGTCAAAGGTTAGTTATTATATCGTTCCGTTCCAATGACTGCCTGGAAAAGGCAACACTACAGAGATGAGCAGATCAGTGGTGGCCAAGGGTTCAGGTTTGGGAGAGGATGAAGGTCATGGCAAGCTGTTCTCTATCCTGATTGTGGTGGTAGCTCCCAAGCCCTATGGATCTGTCAAGACTCACAGAATCATGCAAGTAAAAAGTGGATTTAAGTGTGTGCATATTTTTGAGTGTTTATGAAAAGAATTTGAAGCGAGGGAGTGTGTTTTAGAATGATCACTCTGGCTCCAGGGCCAAGAATGGATGAGAGGCATCAAACACCAGAGGCCTAAGACCTTTTTTGGGAGATGGATTAATCCAGTCAGACAGGACTACAGATCAAACTAGCATGGTAAGCATGGTAGTTACTTAAGGTTAGTTGCAATGTAGAATCTGAAACTGTATCAATGAATCTTTCGTATCTTGCTACCTTAACATCCACCTTTCCACCTAGCACTTTGAATGGATCATTTCCCCATGAATGATTTTGGTTACATCATGTATTAGTCATTTGGAAAATATTGGCTCATTGAGTTATGCAAATTTTCTAAATGTTCACACATTTTATTATACAATATAAAAAATCACTTTAGCTAATATCACCACTGATCTCGTCAGGAAAGTCTTCAAAGACTGGGAAAGCTCTCAAGCTCCCTGCTGCAGATCAGATTCCAGTTTTCCAAAACTCGAATTTTCCTTTGAAAGCTCAAGTTTCATTGGTAGCAATTACTGTCGATCGTTTTTCTTGGACTGATAAGCCCACTTCATTCTTTTTCAAGAAATGTTTGCCAACTCTTTGCCAACTTCACTATGAATAACCATCTATTAGTTTATCAGTTGTGCTTTCAAGTGAAAATGGTGTTCCGTGCAAAAAAGCAGCTGGTGCAGCGAGCAACTCGGCCATTTGCGTGCCTCATTAAGACAACCATCGGCCCCTCAGTACCCGCAGAAGTGCGTTATGTGTCCTCAACATGTGTCACCCAGGATATTAAAAAGCTATGTCATCAAAGGTTGAGATTTAATAAAATTAATAAAATGTGCAGCTTCATCAAGACAATCCTTATGTGAGGCTGGCTTTCTCCCCGTTACCGTAAGCGCAGAGGTTGGCGAGCGCGCACGGGGGTTGGCGAGCGCGCACGGGGGTGGTGAGCGCGGTGACGGTCAGCGCGGTTTGGAATGACCGCCTTGATTGTGCTCAGCTGGCAGCAATATTCTCACCATCGCTACAGATCTCAACCCGGTGAAAAAGGGAAATAACCTTTCGGTATTAGTAGGAAAACAGTCTTGACCTTGTGGACTCCCTGAAAGGGTCTCAGGGACCCTCAGGGCTTGCACAAGTTCACACTCTGAGAACTGCTCCCTGGGGCTCCTGCCACGGTGCCTTGTGCACGGTAGTTATTTCAATATCTGGTTGCTGAATACATGTTTGACTGAAACTTGAGTTTAGAAAGTCTTCTTTGACTCAGCCACCAACTGGGCTTTTTTGCACCAAGTTAATGGAACAGATATCTAAATTAAAATAATGCTGAAAACAGCACCTCAAAGCCCAGTATTTAACTGTTCACAGCTGCTCTAAACTTAACTTTAATGACAAAATTGGCTTCTTTTTCAGCAGATCCCTGAACGGACAAGGCCTGGTGTCTCAAAATTCTGGGAGTGAATCTGCCAGGCCACAGGGCACGACCTGCTGACAGGCCAGAAACCACTTGGCTTGGCCAGGGCTATGACTCTGTGGTTAGACTGATTTAGAATTAGTTATACTGGGAGCAGCAAGATAATCCTGTTTTTCTCCTTGTTGTGCGCCATGTGGAACTTATCTAAGTGCCTAGTTCCCATATAGTTGTCAAGGACGTAAGGAGTTCAGAGGTCAACCACCACCGTGCTACTCGCCTACATAAAAACCGTTTAGCTTGATTCTTCCCTGAGGTATGTAACAAAACATCCTTCTGAGACCTCTAGGGGACAAACTCCCTTCCTCTGTTTCCTTCCTGGAGTCACTTATGAACTTACTTTAATGGGGGTCTTGTAAATACTAGCAACTAAAATCATGGGAGAATATGTAGCCATAGCTCACTGTTGACCTTGATCATGACTCTTCCCATGTTTAGCCACATCCTCAAAGATAGCTTAAGTAGCTAGAGTATACAACTTTATTCAAAAGTTAAACAGGCCACTGAGGATGACTGGGGAGATAGTTTTCCTTTCCTTCCTTAGGCTTCCATAGAAGCTCCATGTAAGCATCTGCTGTTGGACAGAATTCCAAGATGGTATTTTACTGATTATGTCTGTTTTTCTCAAATAAGAAAATATGGAGTCTATAGCACGAGCGTGTGGAATTAGGTCAAAAGGAAGTCTAATTGTAAATGAGAGAGGTGTTGTTGATATAAAAAGAAGAAAAGGCAAAGCCTTTTAAAGTGTGATATGTAATGATATCTTACCATTTTCCACTGGGACTCATTTACTTCTTTGTATTGCAGTTCATACTCCAGGACTATCCATCCCTTCTGAACATCTGCATTGGGTGGTGGTTCCCATCTCACTTGGATATCGGCATGAATGCCCGTTAAACTGATGTTCAGTAAAGTCCAGTTGAGGCCGATGGGTGGATCTGGTTGCACTGTGCATTTTGACAGAGAGTTAGTGCACAGACAGACAGGAACAGCTTGATTTAATGGAGTGTTTTTTTTTTTTTTTTCTGAAGAGACCAATTACTTTATGCATTTTTATTATTCATACCCTGAATTCTTCCAATATTCTTATTATACTCTCACTGTATAAGAGTATCATTTTTTTTTGACTTGAGTATGATCTGTTTTTAACTTTGAAGAAAACCCCTACAAAAAATTCCTTTTCAAGTTTAAAATCTGATCTAAAATTTTTCTTGAGGATCTGCCATGTCTTACATTTCTTTTAGCCCTGATAGGATTAATGCTTTGGGATTTTGGCAACGGAATTCATTGTAACTCGAAACTGAAGAACAGAGTCACAAAGACCTAGAGTATTTAAACATGTGGCTGTTTTGGAACTAGGGATAGAGAAATCTTTTTTATTCCAAATTGTTTATTACCTAGGGCAAGGATCTTGTCTTATTAATTTCTGTATTGCTATTAGAACAATTCTTCCAAACCCTCAGCTAATGCTCCTTAGCTTGTTGTCTTCCTAGCCACATATGATTTTTTCAGACATAAGAAGGAAGGCATTGCACTCTTCTCTCAAATGGTGATGAGTCAGGGTTTTCTGTCTCTTACTTAACCACATATGAACAATCTGAAATAGTGTTTTGCTTGGTTTCTATTGACATACTGTACATTCTCTGGTAAGTCAGCTGTATTCTGCTTATCAGAACTGCAAAGACTACAACTTCCCAAAGACCAATGAAGAGAAATACGGATTCCCAAGCTAGGAACTATACCTAAATTTACATTCTAGATAGTTCCCGATAAATTATTCCTCTTTGGGTCTCAGTACTGAGGTTTTCAAAAGTCACTTGTAGATACAGAGTAAGATTTACTTTCTTTTCTACTGTTTGTAGAAGGTCATCTAGAGTGTTGCACAGTCTGGATCCCTAGGGTTGGCCAGAGAATTGCCTACAGATATAAGTGTGAGGAGCTCTAACTGGCTGTTAAAATCTGGTGGCCAAAAGGGGAAGCTCTTTCATTCAACCAGAGTGAAAACAGACCTTACTGTGAAGGAGCATGATACTGACTCCTGTAGAGTGGACACAACTTTAAAAAAACAGGGAATCCAAATATGACTAATAATGACCACATTTTGGAAATTAAATTGGAGGGATCTGCAAAATAGCTGAGTTGCATATGGCTACAATCAGGACAGTAATGCTTCGCCCTTCTGGATTTGTTGGGGACTGAGGAATTCTGATACTGAAGTTTAACCCTCGAAGAGACCAAAATATTAAAAATGTTTTTGGTCGAAAAATTTCAACTTATTACTCACGTTTCATCTTAAAAACTCCCCTTTCTACTTTAAACAGAAGATATGGAACATGGTCCTTTCTGAGAGGGCTCATACCACTGTTATAAGCATCATAACAAGCTCCCCCTTCCCTCTGTACATCCTGCCACGTGCTGTATTCCACAGTTCCTCTGAGATGTTGCAAAAGCACTTGAGCCCGAGTACATCCCCAGGCAGCCCCTGGTCCCCTGCCTGGAATGTGGTCCTCTGTCACTTTCCCTCTCTCTGCTAATGGTGGCTCCATTCCTCCAGGTGCTCAAGATGAAATGAGTGAGCTCTTCCTTGACACATCTTTTTCTCACCACCCCCACATTCTGTCAGCTGTACTTTCAAGATGGTCCCGGATTCTTTTTTTTTTTTTTTAAAGATTTTATTTATTTATTGGACAGAGAGAGACACAGCGAGAGAGGGAACACAAGCAGGGGAAGGGGGAGAGGGAGAAGCAGGCTTCCTGCAGAGCAGGGAGCCCGATGCGGGGCTCGATCCCAGGACCCTGGGACCATGACCTGAGCCGAAGGCAGACGCTTAACGACTGAGCCACCCAGGCGCCCCAAGATGGTCCCAGATTCTAACCACTGCTCACCACCAGCACCTCCACAACCCAGGCCTGCCATGACACTTTTTTGCCCATATTGCTGCATTAGCCTCCGAAGTGGTCTCCTCCTGGGGTCTCTGTCCTCCTTCAGTCTATTTTCAATACACTTGTCACAGTGGTTATTTTCACACTTGAATTAGAACACATCACTCATTTCAAACCCTCCAAAGCCTTCCTTTTTCACTCCAGGTGAAAGCCAAAGTCATCCAAGGGCTTCAAGGGTGCAGTGACTTTGCCTCTCGGATCCCTCAGATGTGGCCTCTTACATGCCCCCTGCTGGCTCTGTGCCAGCCCCTCTCCCCACCACGCTGTTCCTCGAGTGAGCAAGGGCATGCTCCCACCACAGGAGCTTTACCCTTGCTGTGCCCTCTTGTTGAAGGGCCCTTCCCTCAGATGGACACATTGTTCTCTCAGTTTTTTTACTCAGCAAAGCCAGCTCTGATGACTCTATTAAAATCGCGAACGCTCCTGCACTCCTCTTCTCCCTCCCTGTGTCGTTTTTCCTCAGAGTATTGTCTCTTTCCACCCTCATTGGGATAAAATCCCATGAGGGCAGACATTTTCTGCTCCTGGCACCTAGAAATGTACCTGGCCCAAGGAAGGGACTCAATAAATATTTGCTGAACGCATGAATGAACAACAAATGTCTAATAATACAGTGCTTTAAACCCAAAGATGAGCCCTGTGAGGTAGCAGCAGAAAACTCATACAATGCGTGAGGAGGCTGAAGGCCTGTGTTGTCTTCTTAAGATTAGGTTCACCTCATTCCTTGCGGTCTCCCCCTCCCAGCTCCCTCCCTCCCTGTTATGGTTGTAACTGCCTGTCACCATCTTTTGCCTTAATTGTCACAAAGATTATCACCAAGTCCTCTGACCTCTCTATCTCTAGTCTGTGTTACTCCAATCTACCCTCTACACTGCAGCAGGATGGATTTCCCTGAGACATTAGTAACACAACAGGTGGCACTGGATAACTTTGAGATTAAGAGTGTGGACTCTGGAGCTATGCTGCCTAGGTTCAAATCTCAGTTCTGCCTGCTAGCTGTTCGACCTTGAGTTAGCCTTTAAATGCTCTGAGCCTCAATGTCATCATCTGTGAAATGGGGATTATGATAGAATCTCTCTCACATGGTTATTATACCTGACCCATAGGTAGGGGCTTTGTAAGTGTTAGCTATTATTATCCTCAGGTCATTTCCCTTCTTAAACATCCTCAAATGCACCTCTTGGCAGTAAGATAAAGTCTAAATTCCTTTGTGGGGTACACAAGACCACTTACAATTTCTCTGGCTGATCAGTCAGGCCTGCCTAACTGCTCCCGAGTCCGTCACTATTCTGTGCCATTTGTCACTTTCAGAACTTAGTAGTTGTTGGAAGACACAGTCTATCTGGTATACCTGGCAACTCCCACCGATGCTTTAAGGAGTAACTGAACTGCCACCATGTCTGGGCAGCCCTTCTTCATCCCTCGGGCCCAGTCAATCATTGTACCTTTGGCCACTACCTTGGCTTACAGTGTCCTCCATACACCTCGAGTCCAGCACCTAAGACACAGTACTGCAATTATTTAACACACCTGCCTCCCCTACTTGACCATATCTTACTCATTCTGTAGGCACCACACCTAGCACAGCATCCAGGGCATGGTAGGCCCTCTGTGAAAGTCAGCCATGGAAATGAGTGGGGCTAGCTACTGGCAGGGACAGGGTTAGAACATGGGTCTGGACCCGGTAATTCTTACTACTATGCATTCAGCCACTCAACAGCTACGTCTATTGACATTGGGGCATACACTGAATAGTCTCTGCAAGTTATGCAGTTGGGTTCTCTTTTCTGCTTGTTCTTCTCCCTGACAGGCTATCAGATTTATTTGTTTCTGCCTGCAGCTTCTAGCCACATTCTCTTAGCCTCTTCCAGTCTGCCAGTGCCTGGGAAACCACACACAAGCGTGTAAGGACAGCATGTGTCAGAGAAACTCCAAGCAATTTCTATAACAGATGAGCTTTTGTGGATAGATTCTGAGGGACCAACATCAGCTGCTCAAAGTCCTTCTTTGATTCTTTATATTTTGCTGTTTACACTATTATAGAATAAACATAAATATTCCAATTACAGTTGTTTGTTTTGTTTTGTTTCATTTCCCCTTGTGTCCACACCATGGGCAAGGGATAATCTGTCTAGATCTTTCATTTAGCTCATTGAGCTCTGATTATCTCCAGTGTTTGTCTTAAGATCCTATAAACATGTCTTTAAACTGATTTTCGGCTGTTTTGTAAACATAAAATTCCAGAACTATTATGCTTTGTGATAAAGAAAATCTAGGCTTTTATTACAGTGATGATAGGAGTCAAAGGTCAACATATTTCAGATCTGAATATAATAATCATTTTGAAAAATTGGGAAAGAAGGATTCCTAGAAGTCCATTGAGTTTGTCTCTTGTGGGACCCAAGAACATAATCCAGCTTGAAAGACCTCCTTAAGGAAAAGATTCTGCAAGACTCCCACTCTTTTCTTGACAACATTTACTGCCAGGTTATTTTATGTTAGAGCCAACTTCCATTCTCCCTGCCTTCTCCCTCTTGTTCACTAGCTGATCTCATGCCCTATAAAGTAGACCTCCATTCACCTAGATTATAATGACAGTCTTCCTACTTGAATATGCCTGGACACTGAGGCTCCCCTGCTTATTTAATCTAAAGCCATGTCAAATAAAACACAAACCTGTGATTTACCTATTTCCTCAACAGAGAAACACTTTTGATCCACCGTACCACCATTGCTGGTTAGCTTGATACAGTAGGGTATCCAAATGGAGGTATAAGATGAATTAAAGTAACAGCTGTTTTCTCCAGCAGAGACATAATCAGGGCATTCTTTCCATTCTTGAGTCCATTCTTGAGTGCTCCTGAAATGGAGGGTAAAAAAGGATGAATTGTTCCAAAAATCATGCCATGGTTTAAGTCAAAGTGAGGTGCCTGATAGTCAGATTCAATAAGCCGAAACACAAATATTTCACAAGCAAGTATTTTAGCGGCATCACTGCCAAGAAGTATCACATCTGTGGACTCATCCACAGTGTCTGCAGACTGATAGGAGGCCGTTGGTACTCGTACAACAGCAAAAGCATCTGTGCATTGACTGCATATGATGTGCCAGCTCCTAAATTAAGTAATTTGTGGGTAGGTACTTTATTATCCACATTGAACAGATGAGGGTTCCAAGGCTTAGGGAGGTTTAGAATGTTCCTTTATTAAAACACTACAGAGGGCCAACTCCAAACTATAAAGATTCCCAAAGAACAGTGACTCTTTGGACCCGGATGTTTCCCCAACTCATGGTGGAAGAGACTGAGGAGGCACACCGATGGCATTCTTCAGGCTGAGTGACACGGAGATTTGGGGGGCCTCGAGGTGGAAAATCGGCTACCATCCTACTCTGAACCACTGTACCCTGCGTCCATCTCCCCAAGGCTGTCTTAGGCTTGGGGGAGTCTTCCTGAGGTCTTGAACTCCTTCCCATATTCCTGTTTTTTTTTTTCCTTAATTACATGAAGAGCAATGAGAACATTGTAAACATGCTGGACCTTCAGGTGACATTTATGAAACATGGGGATCCTAGCCTTTTTCTCCCCACCCTAAAAGAGACAAAAGGTCATATTCACATTCCGCCATCCAGTTATTCACCTCTACCCCACACTACAGAGAGTAGCATGTACCCTGATGACTTAAAACATTGGCAGGGTGTGAGCTGAATGGAGAAGAGATGCCAGGAAGTTGACTGGGGAAGGAAGCAGAGTTTAGGGAAAGGGAAATCCCTGGTCAGCTGCCATGGGGGCCTGAACAAAAATGCAGAGCAAGCAAGGATTTCTCCTACTCAAGGCCACCCCTGCCAGAACACAGTGAACATGTGCTAGAATGTGACACAGCCCTCCCAAGTCCCATCCCTCTGACTGACTGAATGAGTCCAGCAAACCATCTTTGGCTGCCTACTATATACGACCTATAGAAGCATTCCAGCTGCCACTAGCTTGTGTGGATATAATGATTAATATGATGGCGTTCCTACCTTCAGGCTAGAAGGAGACTCAGAAATTACCATCTGAGTACTTTTTTTTTTGGTATCCTGTAGTCATTTCATTCATATGTAATAAGCATTGATTATATATAAAACACTGTGCTGGACATTATGCAGGATGCACGTGTGTCTAAGTAATGACTCCTGCCTCAGAGGAAGGATTAAAAAACTGTATTACAAAGCAGTGTGGGTTTGTGCTCACAAATAGTGCTCATTAGTCTCCCTAAAAGTTCGGAAGAGGGAATGATTGCTCTGGCTGTTCACGGAAGGCTTCAAGGTAGAGGTGGTGTTTCTAGCAATCTTGAAGGATGGGTAAAAGCTTAATACGTGGCTATAGGGAAAGGAAGGAGGGAACTGAGTAGTCAAAGGTATTGAGGTACGCAAGCATGGGCATGAGTATGGTGAGGGGAAGGGAGGGCAATGGAATAAATGGGAAAACTTCTCAAATTAGAATTGCTACTTGGGGGGAATACTTCATTATTTGCTTATTATTCATGAGGTATCAGCTGAGAAGGAGGTTTATAAGTCAAGGAGACATAAAACCAGGTGGTCTGTGGCTGAGGGGGAAGAAGGTAGGAATGACCTTGTGTAGGCTGAGGTGCTTGCGGCTGGAAGGCTAGAGAGTAGAGGTCTGTGAGCGCCCCTCTCAGGGACGGGTGCTGGGTAGCAATGAGCGACCAGGACACCACAGGCTATAGGGAAGGCAGGGACTGGAAGGAAGGGATGAGCTGGGAGACAACGCACGCTTCTTTCTTTACAGCTGTTACTCAGGCTGGTCTCTTTGGCACTGGGAAGAAACTTGTGTACTATGAGGGGGTCCTTGAGACAGTTGCTCATCAGCTGCTGGAAAGAACTTGGGATTAACATGGCCAGTGAACTGTGGCTTAAATTCTGGTTGAGATTTTTAAAAGTTGCATACCCTTGGATGAGAGGGAGATTCATCCCTGATGGGAAACGTGAGTGGTGTGTGTGTGTATGTGTGGGAGTGTGTATGTATATGTGTGTATTTATGTATGTGTATATATGTGTACGTGTGTATGTGTATATGTATATATGTGTGTAAATGTGTAGGGGTGTGTGTGTATGTTTAGAGTAGTAGGAAAAGGATTAAAAATTAGGGATAGGTGGGTCATTGACCTACAGTATGGTTTATTTTATCTTGACTTTCAAACTAAGTAAGAGTATATTAAAGAGAACGGTTTAGCAAGATTGCCCAGAGAAATGAGGCTCTTATATAATAAGACAGATAAAGAAATATATTTAGCATAGTTGATAGTATAAAAGTTAGTATTAAAATGTAAGGATGTAGTACAGTGCTTCGCAGGTCTGGATTTGTAATAGGAAGTTTAGCTCTGCGTGTTTTACGTTTTTTCAACTTTGATGTGTCCCCATGGGGACTGCATGAAAAACCTTGTTTAGATTATTCCAAATCCATTAGTCCCACAGAGCAAACAACTTAAAGCACTTATCTTAAGTACAGGAACAGTTAGTTCAAAACACAACTCCCAGGGCCCTCCCCCTCATTAACCAAAGTTGAATTTTATTTTAAATAAATATTTAAAACTTATTTTTAAACTCTTAAATTTAGACAAAAAAACAAATGGACTTGCAAAACAGGGACTCTGGCCTGTGTTCCCTGGGCTGAACTTCTACACAGGTGACCAAAACCAATTTCTGGAAACTACCTTCTCCTTGTCGTACCCCTAAGAGTTAAGTGCATGAGGTTTGCTCCTAGTCCATCTTGCGAAATGGAAGGAAGGCTGTACAATGGGACTACTGGTAAAAGTCAGAATAAAGAGAAGAAATACTTTTATCCAAATGCTTTTCCATCTAGCAACTGGAAGAAAAATCCTAAAAATAAAACATCATTTATGTTCTAAGGACCACAGTTTTCATTACATACAGATCATGTGTTTTAGGCTTAAAATTCAATCTTTTCTCTAGAAAAAAGGAAAAGCAACAGTGCCCTTTCTCCCTTCTCATCTCCTCCAGAACCTTGCATGGAAATCATTTGTTGAGGGGAGTGAGCGTGGGGGATGACAGAAGTGGTGGGATAGAGTCTCTGGGATCGAGCCTTCACAAGCCCACTTTCTTCAACATTAAGGCATCTGCGGGCAGGGAGCTGAGAGCAGAGCATCTCCAACAGGCCCCCCCCAGACCCTCCTGCTGTGGTGCCTGCGATTTGCAGTCAGGCTGCTCCCCTGGCCGGGGGCAGAGACAGCCACGCACGCGGGTTAGGCTCCTTTGTGCTTTAGTTACCAAGGCCAGGCTGGTAAAACTGAAAGCCCAGTGCATGGGCCCCTTCCCCGAGCCTTCCTATCTCCCCTGCTCCAGTTCTGGATGAAATCCTGTCCCAGCTTCGTGTGTCCGTGAAGAGGGGTCACGATTCTATAGTTCCAGGAGTTGCCTGGGACCTGAATTCTGAGAAACAATGATGAGAGTCAGAAAGCGCATCTGTACGGTCCTCTCTGTGCCAGGGGCCAGTGTGAAGGCTGACACAGCTGTGTACTCACTGGGGTGGTCTGGGCCTGACATCCTAGACCCTTGCGTTCTACCCTTCCTAGATAAACCGGGCTGGAGGCTTACGCGATTTTGGCTAGATATTCAAAATAATTATATTTTTGTAGGGAAAACACAAAATACCGATTTTGCAAGTTGGGATTGGCCCTAATCATTAGGTTGTGCTTGGGGGTTTGGAGATGTGACAGTGTTTTCCCCTGGGATCCCAAAACCCACTAGGGCAAAAGTTACCGACATCCTTCCAAATATGTTGAGGTTTGCCCTCCACCTGGTCACCCTTTCTGTGGCATCTCCGTTAGCACGGAGCCTGGCTTTGGACTGGGGGTGGGTGCTCAGAGGCCTAGCGTGCGCAGAGGAGGCCTGGAGGCAAACACATGTGACCCAGATGGAAGAAAGTAAGGAATAAATATATATTTGTGAGGGTTTTATACCTTTGGATTTATCTTTTTGCTCAAGTTCAGATTTGGTGAATATTAGGGTTGGTAATAACCCATTTCCATAAAGTGGGCCCGACTCTGCCCTCTCTCTCTTCAGTTTAGTTCCTTGTGCCTGCACAAATAACTCAGTTTGTCCTCACTGAGCCGGCTCTCTGTACCTCCGAAATCTCTCTCCCTTTAACAGTCAATCCAACGGATATTCCAAAGTGTTACCAAACATATAAGCCTCCTGTCCAAATGTACTTCCACAAAGCAGTGTAGCCTCTTCACCCCCACCTCTCTGTAGTGTCAGCCCTAAGAGAAAAAAAGTGCCTTGGGTGCCCAGCCATGTCGTATCTGTGTGCCCTCTGGGGCACATCCAGGAAACCTCCCTCACACCGGGGAAGTGGGTAAGGCCAGTATGGGTTGCTACCTCAAACTATTTACTTGTATACTGAGTACCCCATTTTGCACTAACAACGGCCTCAGAACAGACCAATAATCAGTAGCCGGAGAGAATCAAAAGTCATTTTTGTAGCCCAGGAATTGGCTTTCTGTATCATTATGATTTTAAATTACCACCATATTACCAAGGGTAACAGCACCTACCATTTGGTGATTATCTATGCTGTGCCACGCGCAGTGCTAAGCGCTTTTCATGTATTATCGACCCAAACTCTCACGAGAAGGCATAAGACAAGACCTGCCGTCTCTTGTTTCACAAATGAAGCAGCTGAGTTGTGAACTGACTACTTTGCGTGGCATTCCTCAGCGAGTGCCAGAGTCAGGCCGAGATGCGGGCTTGCTGGCCCTGAGCCCACGTCTTTGGCTGCTCCCGGCCTGTTCCCTCCCTTCCCCTGCTCCTCTGTGGCATAGATGGCTTCAGCCTTGGACCCGTGAACGCTCCCACCCTGGGACAAAGGGTCCCGGCTACCCTTGAATCTTGGCTTAGGCTTCCCCTGGGGGTTGGGTGGAAACGGGGAAATGATAAAATGTTAGAACCTAAAACTTAGAAAAGGCAAAAAAGGTACAACATAAGAGTAAACAGAAATGGAAATAATTCCAGGTGCGGGGTCAGAAAGAAACTACTTGGATGGTGATTATATTGAGACATCTTCATTTCACTCTTCCTCTGTTATTTTAGAAGACCACCGGTCAAAATGGAATAGAAAAGTACTACAATTCCTTAGTGAGTATAACTAATTTAATAGGAACATAGTCTATTTTCTACTTAGACACTAAGCTGAGTCTTTTAAAACGTCTTCTCAAAGCCCATCACAGATGAAGTCAAATTCAAGGCCCAGCCATGGCCAACAAGGCTTGGCGCGGTCGGGCTCTGGCTAAGTCTCTGACCTCTGCTCATGTCACATCCCCATGTTTCACCTTGTTTCATCCATGCGGGCCTCCTGCTTTCCTCAAACAGATTGGCCTCAGGGCCTTTGCACTTGTAATTTCCTCTCCGGCACAGTTTTCCCCCAGACATTCTTGTGGGCCTCTCTCACTGCACTTCTGTCTCTGCTATAACACAGCACGTCAGCAAGGCCCACTGTGAGCTGCTCATCTAAAGCATCACCCAAGCTCCCTGCACACACACACATGCACACACACTCATGCACCCTTATCCACACCTTCACATACTCGCTCTCTCATATACACGTACACATTCATATCCTTGTGCACATCCATCCACACACCTGCTTCCACACATTCTCATATGCACATACTCACCACTCCCTCTGTCACACACACCCACACTTCACACACACTCCTGCACATGCACACTTGCACCCACACTCTCACCCACTCACACATATGCTCACTCATATTCACACACTCACCCTCACACACTCTCATGCACACGCATGTACTCATTCACAGTGTGGGCACTTTTTATCCTCTTTCTGGCTTCTACTTTTCTTAATAACCCTTTTACTAGCTGACATTTATTTATTTTACTTATTTTTTTGTTGTCTGTCTTCCCCTGTTGGAAATGAAGCTCCACGAGGCCAGGGTCCTTACCCTTTTTGTAATCAGCACTGTATCTCCAGTGCCTTAAATAGCATCAAACACATAGTAAGGGCTTAATTAACTTTTTTTGAATAAATGTATACATTTAAGTCATCAAAAAAAAAAATGCTTTCTATGTCCACCACTGCATGCAACTCAGTATACTTTCAACCGAAAATCCATGGAGGGAAAAGTCAGAAAGGCATGGAAAAGTCAGAAAGGCATGGAAAAGTCAGAAAGGCATAAAGCCTGCACCTTCTAATATAGAACAGCTGTACTGATCCTGGGTTCTTCAAACCGTGACGAACCCCATCTGTCCAGTGGCATGAAAAAGTCTCTAGTTCAGGTGAACGGCACTTGGTGAACTTAGGCTTCCCAGAAGAATCTGCAGAATAAACAGAAAAGGCAAAGCATGAAATCAGGAAGGTCAGGTATGGTCCTAATAAAACTCATATGTAAAGTGGTAAAGAAGAACCATTTCCTCCAGAGACACTGTTTTCCTGGGTCACAGTTTAGGAGCTCGTTGTAATGCCAGTTATTTCTCTGTCAGCTCTCGATTCCAGGGACAAACTGTTCTGTCTTCATGTCAAACATTATTTTTAGGGCCTGTTTAAGAAACCAGAACTAGAGGTAGGGTTTATTTGGAAGGTGACCCCAGGAACAGGAAGTGAGGGGCCAGGGAGAGTCGAAAGGGGAGGGAGGACAGCTAACAACGTGTGTTGTCCAGTGGGTTCCCACGGTGGCCAGCCAGGGGCCCACCTCCACAGAGGCCTCTCGGAGAAGCTGTAGAGCATGGAGTGTGTCCTAGAGAAGGAGGGGAGGCTGCGGTGTATATCCCCCAACCCCCGCTCTCCACTGCTTGAGGGCTGCCCTGGAGGTGTTCATGCCCATGAACTTCTAGGGCACACCCGCACAAGGGCTGAAGATCCTGCCTGGCTTGACAGAAGCCTGGACAGGCTCCCGAAGTGGACATGACAATGTGCACGATGGCGGCTGTGCACCACAGATGCATGCACTCGCATCAGGTGGGACAAAGGGACGTGGCCTGGGACCGCAGCATCCACTACAGGGCATTTCCTCTTTTTATAGATTTTTTTAAATTTTTTTATAAAAAGCCACTTAGGTCTGCATTCTTTAAAAAGAATTCATTAGGTACATTCATTAGGTAGATGATGACTATACATTCATTAGGTAGATGATGACTGTACATTCATTAGGTAGATGATGACTAAAAATCTTCTGCATATTTATGTGTCAACTCAAATTTGGGAAGTGGTGATTGCCTCCTATGTGTTAGGATATTAGCCCAAACGCCTCTGCATCTATGAAATCTGCAGCAGACAAGTCTGAGACAAAACTCATTTTTTGTATATCAATTCTCATTGTTCTCTGAGTTCCATGGCCATTTTGGAGATGGCCAAGTTTCTTTTTTTTCCCCTCCTTATATGATTAGTCTTCCATTAGATTTGAAACTTAATATATTTGTTCTCTGATCTAAAGCTCTCATCCCTGGGCAATAGGGAGTCTCTCAATTTTAAAGGAGTCTTATGAATACTTTAAAACATAATTTAGAAATAAACAGCATGCAACCAAACACATAAAAATCCCTGATTCCAAGTTCCAGGTTCATATCTGCTGTTCTGAACCAAAACACGCCTCTTTTTCCCTTTGTCAGCAAAATCATAATGAATGGGATATTATAAACCTTCTAAGTGAATCCATCATTCAGCCATCCATTCAACAAATACAAAACATCTATCTTGTGCCAGGCCCTCTTCCAAGAGTAGAGCAGGAAACAAAACTGCTAACATTCTGGTCCTTGTGGGGTTTCCCTTTCAGTGGGGGCTGGGGAGGGGGGAATCCCACGTAGAAAGATGAGCAGGGTAAGAAGGTAAGGGGCTGGGAAATGGAGACCCCATCCGCCTTCCACTGATACCCGTATGAATGCAGTGAAGAAGCTCAGGCTGGGGAAATGTGTCCTCATTTTAGAACATCTGCTGCCCCAAAGAGTCTGGCCACAAGAAAATGAATCTTCAGGAAATCCTGAGTTGCAGATAGGTCCTTTGCCCTGGGAACACATGTTGGGGGTGGTAGAATGTCTTTCTTAATGAAATTCCATGGTCATATGGTTGTAAGAGATATTCCTTTTCCTGTATTAACTAAGCGATTGACAAGAGTTTCAGGGCATGGATAGGATCTGCTTGGTACCAAGGGCAGATGCTCAGCCCCCTCTAGGTGGTCAGCACCTATGAACCTCTCTGAGAGCACTGAAATGTAGGGGCCTGTATGATCTGCTACAAATGAATATAGTGAAAGAGGTGTGTGTTTCGTTAAGTAAGCACCTACTATACAGTAGAATACCTGGAAATATTTCTTTTTCTATTAGCTGAAGAACTGAAAAGGTTATTTGCAGACCCTCCCAGAAAATAAGCGATTAATAAAACATATTTAAGCCACAACTATTTTTAATGCTTGCAGGTTTGAGGAGAGTATTGCAGATTCTGCCTACTCCTCTGCATAGAAGTTTAAGAAGAGGACATGCGCTGGGTTACAAATTCAGAGATTTGTGTTTGAGTTATGGCTCTGATACTCTTCAGCCCTGATCTTCCCAAGCCGTTTGCGCCTCAGTCTCCTCAATAGAGAGGCTGGAAGAGATGAGATTCAAGCTACTTTACAACTTCACGTTTACAATAAACGATGTATATCATCATTAATAATAATGTACACAATGAAAACATAATTTTGGCCTTTAAGCCGAAACAACCAGAGAACACCAAAAGCAAACACCATTCAGGTTCTCATATTCCCTGTGCAACAAGCCTACCACACAATGGCAAGAATAGTAAAACCCAACCCAAAAACTTGAAACAGAAAAGGAAAAAAAAAATTTTGCTAGCTGGGGGAAAAAAACTTAAAAAAATTAATTTGAAACACATTTTTCTTGCTTAAACTTAGTATGCCTGTTTGTTCTGTTACGTTTTAACTCCCGATGTATAGAAAGCCCCCTATTATCTCCTCATTCTAAATAAGAAATGGGAAATTCATGGTTCATAGTTGTGGTGCTAATGTGATGAAGTGTGTGCCCACACAGGAACTCTGATACAGACGTAGTGCAGCCAAGCTATTTTTAATTTGTCTTTTTTGATTGTATTTTTCACTGCGTACCCTCCTTTCCCTACCTTCCTCCTTTCTTTCTCTTTCCTTGCACTCTCTTCTCCTTCCTTCCTTCTTCCTTTCACGTCTGGGTATGTGCTGTTAAGTGCTGTAGCAGACAGACTCTTCAGGTGGCCCCAATGATCCCTGTTTCCTGTTGTTTGTAAGATTTGGTATATCATCTCCTTGAATAATTTGCTAATGTAATCTAATCTAACCTACAGAATATGGCAGATTTGAGGGGATGTCATATCTGTGATTAGGCTACAAAGACTGTGACTTCCGTCTTGCCAGCAGATTCTCATTCTTGTTGGTTTTGGTGAAGCAAGCTGCCGTGTTGGTGGAAACCACATGATTAAGGACTGAGAGTGGCCTCTGACCAATAACTAGCAAGTCTAACAACCCTTGAAGAACGGAATCCTGCCAACAACCATGGAATTTGATCCTTCCCCAGTCCAGGCTTCAGGTGAGACCACAGCCCTGGCTGACACTTTGATTACAGCCTTGTGAGAGAGTGTGAAGCAGAGGTCCCAGAAGCTGGGTTAATTCAGAGGAAGGGCAGGGAATAATATTAACTGAATGCTGTTTATACAGAACAAATGAATCCAATATATCAGAACTTGAAAGCGGTGTTCAACAATGGCATAAGCCACTTTTCTTAGCAAATGGAATGAGTCACAATGAGAGTGGGAAAGTACATAACTTCTTTGTTGGAGGCAAGAAGAACTGCAGTGTAGCTGGCTGCTTAGCTCCTTCTCAGTCACCTCCTGCTTCAGCTATTACGACTGTGGCTGAAGATAGCTGGCATTCCTAAAGTTCGCCTCCTTAGCATCTTGTTGAGGTTTCCCAAGTCTGAGAGGTACTGGCCTTAAAATGAGGACCTCTCTAATTATGTCTGAATATCCTAGTAGAAGTTGTTTTATATTTCACTTAAAGACAACAAATGGCTACCATACATTCTCAGGTCCTCTCTGATGAGCCACAAACAATAATTTTTGAACTAGTAATAATTCCTGCTCTCTCATGATTTTTAGCCTAAACCTAGAGACAGTATAGTTCAATATCCATTTACAGCAAGTCTAAAAAGAAAGCCACACTTGACAAGAGAGCCTCGCTTTGGCCCTAAATTAATTCTCACTAGGAGAAATGAGTGTTCTAACTCAAGTGGTCCCACATTCTGAAAAAATGTTAATATCAACACCGATCAGCACTCAAAATCATGACAATAGATTTGGGATTCATTTTTATTTTCTCTTTGGAGTCTTCATTTTGAAAATGAGGATTTTGACTTGCAACTACATATTTATTTTAGTTATTAATACCATGTTATATACCTCACCTTCCATATTATATCATGTTGAATACTTTACATATATTGTCTCCTTAATACTGACAATAATTCCAGAAGTTGGGCATTATGTCCACTTAGAAATGGGTGAAAAACTGGAGTTGAGAGAAGTGAGTGGTGTTTATACTGCAGTAGGTAGGAGAGATGGGATTAAAATACAGGTCCATGTGATTTCAAGCCTAATTTCAGCACTGGCAAAAAATAGTAGCTTTTTTGTTAGGCAATTTTCTCTTGCTTCTCAAAAAATTCCCAGAAGGGAAAAATGACAAGCTCAGATGTGCCCTTAATTCAATTCTCAGAAATGAGTAAGCTGACAAGCCCTAAGAGCAGCATTTCCTAATTGTAATTGTACATTGGAATCAACAGGGGAGCTTTAAAAGACACTGATGCCTTGGCCTGCTGCCAGAGACTTGAGTCAATTTGTCTGGGGTGCAGCCTGGGTGTCATGATTTTTAGAAGTTCCCCAGGTACTTGCAATGTGTGGCACAAGTTGAGAGCCACTGGTGTAGAGAAATAAATTATAGGTAAGTACTGAAAAGTTGGCTTTCCACATTATTAGCTTGTCTGATCAGTTCTAGCAGAGCTTTGTATCAAGAGTGACACTTGGTTTGGGCGCCTGGCTGGCCCAGTCAGTAGAGCGTGCAACTCTTGATCTTGGGGTCGTGGGTTCAAGCCCCACGTTGGGTGTAGAGCTTGAAAAAAGAGAAAAGAGTGACATGTAGTGTAAACTCCCACGAGTCTAGTTTGAGAGGGTGTGGGAAGGATATGAATATTAATTATCACCTCAGAAGAGTAAATGATGAGTGCTGGAGAACTAAAAGATATTTTAAATATACGCGTCTACGGTGCATGTCTCAATGCTAATCCTGCCTAAGCTTCTGATG